ATGCGCGAGGTGTGACGCCGCTGTTGGATGGGGNCGGTGGTGGTGCGTTGGACTCGCAAGTGGTGGCGGGCAGAGTAGGACCTGACGAAGAGGAAACGCCCGAGACGGCGTGCGCGCTGCCGTCAGCTTGAATGCGCACGGCGACGGTCGCGCCATCGTCGGCATTGGGACTAGGTTCTCGCTTGACGCGCTTGGGCGTCGGGGCACCATCAGTGGCGGGCACAGACGCGGCAGCGTGGGTAGGGGCCACGACGACCTCGTCTGTGTCTTCATCTTCCGGTGGGTCAGGCACATCCAGGGCGGTGCGGTGGTAGGCGGAAGTGTCAGGGCGGGACTCGGGGCTTGCTGAGGTGGGGGAAGCAAGGGGAAGGGTAAGACATTCGTCTTCCATTTGACGGAGGCGCTGTTCCTCGACCAGCTCCATGTCTCGGCGATGCTGTGCTTGCTGTTCTTGGAGGCTTGCAATGTACTCGGCGGCGCTCTCAAAGCCCGGGCCGGCATCAAGGGGCTCTGGGTGGAGGCGATCGCCGGCAGCGCGGCCGCGACGCTTGAATATGTTTTCGCGCACGACAACCGTTTGGTGGCGGCGGCCGTCGGCGCCCTCGTACTCGACGACCTCCGTCTCCACGTTGTTCGGCTTGGCAAGCTGGGGAAGGTCGCCACGGGCAAGCACGGCTTCCTCTTCGGCGGTGATGGTGGGTTCGTTGTTGCCGTCATAGATACGATTGGTGACCCAGCAAAACGTGCCCTGATTCTCAGAGTCGGCAGCGGCAGCCTCGATGGCAGAGAGCTGTTCGGTGCCCTTTTGTTTGATGCGTCGGCGGGCGGCCTTTTCATCCTGGTTGGGCAGGAGAATGGCTTGGCGCTGGCGACATTGCGTGGAGGTGCAAATATGCATGTTAAGGGGGCAGCGCCGGCAGACCCAGACTTGGTGTTGGAGCCGAACAAAGCCGGTAGTGCCGCATGCTTCAGGAGAGCAGGTATGCGCCAGGCTCTCCGGGGTCGGAGGGTGGCATTGCTGCTCTTCTGGCGCGTCTGATGCGGCAGCATCGCACCATTGGGAGATGCCGGAGCGGGCATTGAACCAGTAGGGGTGAAGGGGACGTTCGGGGTCGTCCGAGTCGCTGCGTTGCAGCGACCAGGCCAGGGCAACGTCGTGCTGCCAGTGCCGGTGCAGGCACTGGGCAAAGAGTGGGCAAAAGGCATGTCGGTTGGTGCAGGCAGAAGTACATTGGTGTACACGGGCGTGGGTTCGACAGAGACAAACGTTGCGGCCATCGGGCTGCTCAGCGGTGGCGTCGACGGCCACAAGCTCGCAGCCAACCCCGGTGCAACGAGTCAGGGTCGGCGGGGCTGGGTCCTGAGAACTTGTGGGGAGGAGCTGTGTGGGGGGTTCGTGGTCGGCGCTGGGTAGGTCTAGTTCAAGCGATCCCGGCGCCAGGTTGTGTTGGCGTTCAAGCATGGGGAGCTGTTGAAGGAGGGCCATGGAGCGGTGGAAGCGGGCGGCAGTTTGGTTGGCGTTGAACACCTCGTCCGAGGTGACAAGGGCCAGGGCGGGAGCCAAAGGGGGAGCTGGGTGGTCTTCGTCATAGGCATGGCGTCGAGTGGGGTCGGCCAGCAAACGGTAGGCGGTGTGAATGCGGTGAAAGGCGACGGCAAACAAGCGACGTTCACTTGCGTTGCGCGTCCGGTCCGGGTGCCACTGCAAGCCTACCCGAGGAAAGGCAGAGGCAGAGGATGAGGAAACAAGGGCCAAGGGGCGAGAGGCAGAGGCAGAGGCGAGGGCAGGTTGACCCCAGGGGCAAGCAGCGGGTCTTTGGAACACGGGACCGTACTGGCTTCGCGGTAGGCGCGACGAATGGCATCTTGATCGGCCTGACGAGGGACTCGGAGCAGCAAGTAAGGGTCGGTCGGCAGCTGCTCCACCTGAGCCTGCAGATCCTCGGACATGATGGCCCAGGGCAGCGCGCCCAGGGCGGTACCGGGTACCTCCGCAGCGAGGGGGCTCTGGAAACGGGGTCTGGATCGCTCGGATCCTCTCAAGAAGGAGCGCGACCGAGGTAAGCGCGACACATCAGGGTGGAAAGCACGATGACGGCTCAGCTTGCGTGACACACAGGTCACGCGCACACCACAAGGGTCTCAAAGCGCTTGCACAGCCAAAGCGCAGCCGTCACCAGAGAGGGCAAGAGGGCGTTTCCAAACGGCGATGCAGCGCGAGGAGGAGGACGACGACGACGACAGCTCCACGACGACGCGACGCCGCAGAGAGAGACAGAGAGAGAGACGAGTGTGTGATGCAGAGATAGTGAGGGAGTGAAGGGAGTTTTAAGAGAGGGAGCCAGCGAGAGATAACCTGATGTGGGTTAAACACAGCGGAATAAGAGAGTCAGAAGGGCTGAGACACCACTGCAGAGACATGGAGCAAGCTTGATGAAGAGACAGAGGATGAAGACGGTGATAGACAGCCATCTCCTGGTTCATCGAACGGCGCTCAATCTCTGATTTGCATTATATTTAAGCTTACACCGACGCGCACATTGAGCCTCGTCTCTGATCTCGACGCGGCGCTTCTTCGTTTGCTTTGATTGCGACATCCGAATTCGTCTGACAAATAACGGTTATCTTCACTCGGTTCGCTCGCTGCTGACCCGTTCGCGAAAGAGCTTCAGAGGTCATCGTGGCTGGTGATGTACGCGCTTGCTGACGCAGCGCCCCCGATTCGTGCGCCGTCCTCTCTGATATCAAGCCATGCTTGGACCTCTTGTTATCCAACTTTGCGCTTTTGGTCACACGCAGATCAAGTTGCTGGTGGCGCAAAACAACGGCTGGAAGGTAGGCCGTGCTCTGTTGGCACTCGTAGCTGCAACATTCTCACCATCAAACCCTCCACCACGTTTGATGACTTTGCGCAACAGTATCCAAATGGGTCCTGGGGAATAGGAGCGATTTGTTGACAGTCTCTCGGCCTCCGTGCGCGCCACTTGCACCATGCGCGTTGAAACCGGTGTGAGTGTGCATGCGCATGTGCATGTGCGCACATTATCTCTCTCCTTGCTTGGCTTTGTTCTTATGTGGTGCTTTTGTGGTGGTATCATCGTTGCTTCTGTAGGTGCCCAAGAACGTTCCCGAGGGTGGCTGGACTGACGAGTTGGAGAAGAAACGCAAAGCCGATCAGGCCGCCATCGACAAGGCTATCCCCTTGACGGATGCTGAGCAGGTGCAGTGTGTCAGCGACGCGTGTTTGGTTGCGCGGCTCAGTCACATCGGCTCATTGGGTGGTGGGTCTGACATGTGCGATAGAAAAAGAAGGAGGACATGTTGGCCAAGGGGTTTGCCGACTGGAACCGCCGGGACTTTCAGCAGTTTGTGCGGGCCAACGAGCGCTGGGGTCGCAAGGCGATGGACAAGATCTGCAAAGAAGTGGAAAGCAAGCAGCCAGAGGAGGTGGAGGCATATGCCCAGGTGTTTTGGAAGCGATGGAAGGAGCTTGACAACTGGTCCTCCATCAAAGGTAAGGTGCCCTTACTCTCCTGCATGATGAGGCATGGCAGGCTCTGATTCATCATGCGCTTTGCATGGACGCTTGTGGCCCGTGGCGCGATCACAATCAGCTCAAATCGAGCGGGGCGAGCACAAGATCAATCGGCGCATCGAAGTGCAGAGCGCTTCGGGCAAGAAGGTCAAGTCAACGCCACACCCATTCCATCGCCTTACCATCAATTATGGCGGCAATCGCGGCAAAAACTATACGGAGGAGGAAGACCGCTACATTATTTGCTTTTTGCAGCGCCTGGGTTACGATCACGACCACGTGTATGATGAGCTTCGACGCCAGGTGTGTCCTGTGCTTCAGCATTGATTTTGGCCAGGAGAGCTTGAAGCCATATCGTAGAATGCACTCACTCCCGATCAATGTCATGTGGTGGGTTGTGCTTGCGGGTGTAGATTCGCAACGAGCCGCTGTTTCGTTTCGACTGGTTTATCAAGTCACGCACAAGCGTAGAACTTCAGCGCCGGGCAACGACGCTCATTAACCTGGAGAAGGAGATGAAGCCAGATAGCAAGAGCAAGGGCAAGGGCAAGAACAGGGAGGAGGATGAGGAGGAGGAAGAGCCGCCCACGAAGCGAAGCAAGGTGAGATTTACCTCGTGGTGTACGCAACCAACTCGCTCATGAGGGACACATTGGTGGATTCCAGGCCGTCAATTCAGCAACAAAATGGAACCCATCGCCTCAGCCTCACTTGTTGCTTTTGGGGTACGCAGAGCCAATCGGGTAACAGCAAGAAGGCTTCTTCAAAGGGCTCTTCCCAGGCCGCCTCGCCGAAGCCCAAGTCTGGTGAATCTTCCAAGTCCAAGGCCGGCAAAGGTGGCAGCAGCAAGAAGAAGGGCAAAAAGTAGATAACGCTCATTTGCACGCCCTATCGGCTACACCTGGACCCTGTTCATGTGTACTCTTCTTCTTGCACGATAAGCCAGCGCGTTGCATGCGGATCGTTCTTTTGAAAGGACACTCTGTCCCTGTCTCCTATTTCCATATCAGATGGCTGGTATGGCATGATTCACAGGATTGATGGGGTTCTCTTGACCAACTTGGCTTTGGCCTCGCACTTGCATCGTGGCCATGATGTGCGTCTATCTAGTATCGTCAAGTTGGCTTGTCTGGCTTTGTTGGGTTTTCTTCCGGCTGAATTACCTCTTTTGGTCTTCATGCTGGCTTGTCGGCCCGTCGTGCATCATTTGGGAGCCATGCTCTTGTTCTGCCGTTGATCGACTTTGAGCTTTCTGCTTCACAGCCGATCAAACCCCCACTAAAGCTGTCGCGTTTCACGTGACTCCGGTCGAGAAAAGTCTGCAACGTACACCTGATTTGAATAGAGAAAATGGGAAAAAATGGACTTGAACAATTTAGTTTTATCGGGTTACTCACTCACACGAAGGCAGCAGAAAGAAAAGGGAGAAACGACTCCGTGAAAGCGAACCTGCTCGCATGATCTTGCTTCCCTTTTGCACGCAACAGGCAAAAAGATTACCTCAAGCTTGGTGTGTGGGTTGATGACTGCCATTTCCAAAGGCCCCCGGCCTCACACATCCAGACACCTCTCGAGTACCTCTCCCCTTCCCCCCCCCCCCTCCCTCAACCCTTTTGACCATTTTGAGCTCGTCTCGGCCCTTACCGAGGCGGATTGGAGGAGTACTAAAGCACAGGCCATCGCTACCATGTCCCGACCTGGTGCCAGCAATGGCATGGTGTGTCAACAAGCTCTTGCGAGTGCCGGATTGCACGTAGATGTTCGTTGGTCTAAGAAACTTGGCAACTGACTCACACAGTGTTTTTCCTTGTTTTGGCGTCTCAGTTTCCACAGCTCAACGGCCAGGCGGTGCCCATGGGGTTCAGTGGCATCCCTCAAGGCTATGGCCAGCAGCCCTATCCGCCTTATGGCATGCAGCATCAAAACTACGCGCCGCCGTTTGTTTCGTCTCCGCGAACCCCCACGTCAAGCCAAACCCCACAACGCTCTAAGAAGACCCTTGCGATTATTAATCCCAAGACTGGGGAGCCCTTTCAAATTCAATCAGAGAGTGCGGCATCTACCCCTGTCCGTTCTACCGCAACAGCGGCACCAGAGCCAGCCGCATCACCGGCCCCTGCTGTTTTGACGCCACAAACGACCAAACGCCGACACCTCAAGATTGAACACCCCGACCCGGCTCCTGTCCCTGGAAGCCAATGACACCCCTTGCATCTCCTTCAGCACGCCGTTTCCTGTCTGTGGTATTCCCGGCTGCTAAATGTGAGGTTGTGTCAAATTTTCGTAAACGCGGGGACGGCCGACCGAGTGCGTGCAAATTGATGCATGTGTGTGTTTGCATCAAGTTCAATCGCGATCAAGATCAAGCCGCGTCGAGATTGAGATAAATTAGAGTGTAACTGCCGTTTGGGCATCACAGCATAGCATGTAGTTTGCAAAAAGAAACAAAACGAAAAAACATTAGAAACTGGCAAGCGCCCAATGCCTAAGCAGCTCGCCTGTTTGCTTCGATTGCGACATCCGATTTCGTCTGACAAATAACGGTTATCTTCACTCGGTTCGCTCGCTGCTGGCCCGTTCGCGAAAGAGCTCCAGTGCTGTGTGTGTGTGTGTGTGTGTGTGTGTGTGTGTGTGTGTGTGTGTGTGTGTGTGTGTGTGCGGACGTCTTTACGATCCCGTGCGTCGTGCGCGCTGGGGTGATGTTGTGAGTGCTGGACGGGATCGTGTGAGTGCTGGATCGGAGCGTGTGCGCGCTGGGGTGATGCTGTGAGTGCTGGACGGGATCGTGTGAGTGCTGGATCGGAGCGTGTGCGCGCTGGGGTGATGCTGTGAGTGCTGGATGGGATCGCGTGAGTGCTGGGTGGGATCGATGCTGTTTGTGCCTCTGATGTGTGGCCTGATCTGTGGGAATGTACGAGTTCTTGGACGATTCGGGCAATGGCCTCGGATCTGAGGCTTTCCTGAGGACTTGGATCCTTTTATGTGCTCTGAGCGAGTGATCTACTGGCTCGGGTCGATCTGATGCACCTCCCACTCACACAATCACATCCGCCTGCCTTTGACAGCTTCTCACTGCTGAATTCCGCCAGCTTGCTTGCTTCTCATACCCAGACGTCATGGCGCTGCATGTGTTGTCCGTCCTCGCCGTGCTGCTCAGTGGCCTTGCAGCCAGGGCGGATCCCAAACCTCATATCATCATGATTCTTCAGGATGATCTGGTAGCCGCAGAAACTCTATCCCACTCGTCCCACCCATCTTCTCGCGGCCCGCCCCAACGTGGACCATTATCATCACGCTCAGCCGCTACGCCACGCCCCGCTTCTTGCAGGGCTACCACGACACTGTCTTTAATGGCGGCACCACCACAGAGGAAACGAGCAATATTAGTGCTCTCGCCCAGCAAGGGATCATCCTCAAAAACGCCTACACCCACTGGCACTGTTCTCCAACGCGCCGATCCTTGTAGGCCCGCGCGCCCCCTTTCCTTGACCTCAGGGTCCCCCACCTTGTGATCGAGACTGAGACATGGACCATGTTTGGAAAAAAAAAAAAAAAGCCAGCGCTCATCATGATCCACTCTCTTGCCAATATGCAGCTTGTCGGGGCGTTGGCCTATTCACCACGGCGAGCAACTTAGTGCTGTTGCCTCGGATGACATGGATCTGCGCTGGACTTGGATTTCTGAAAAGCTCAAGGCCGCTGGCTATGCCACCCACTGGTTCGCATCTCTTGATCCTTGATGCCTGCTCTTTCCCTCGCTTGGCCTTCCAATTGCCGTGTCTCTTGCCTGTACTTGACCCACCGCTGTTGCGCACATTCCCCTGTTAACTTGCTCTTGTTTTTTAAGGTACGGCAAGGGTCATACAGGTCAGTCTCAACCATCCGTCTATCCTTAGTCCTCGATCCCGATATCAAATGTGGAACCATTCTGACAACATAGCACTCTCTACATGTCTCGCGATTGCCCCGATTAGGCTATCTGAGCTGGAATCACCTGCCCATCAACCGTGGCTTTGACCACTACCTGGGCTACCTCAGTCCGTTCTGCAATCACTGTGCCTCTGCCTCTACCGTCCACACCTCCTGAACCATGCTTCAAGTGCACGGCTCATATTTGATTTGACCTCGGTCCTTAGGTGGTGCCGAGGCCTATCGCTCGTCTGAGCGCTGGGAAGGGGATCATCCGCTCACCAACAATACAGAGTATTCTTCAGATCTCTACGGCCAGCTTGTACGGCCCAGCAACACCCCATGATTTCTGGCTCCTCCCTCGATGATGGGCCTGCCCTCTTAATGTTGGGCTCTCCTGCCTTGTCCTCTCGCCTTCCCAGGCCGTGGACGCCATTGCCAATCACGACGCCGAGACCCCCTTGTTCATGTATCTGGCTTGGCAAGCAGTGCATACCCCCTATGACCCAGTCCCCGATTGGGACGACCGCTATTGCTATGGCTACTCGGAACAGGTCAGATAAACAGCTGATTGTTTTGCATGCCACTCCCTTACTCCGCACAACAGACCTATCATTGCCGTTTCACCTCCTTATATTCGTGCGCCCTTTGACCGAGCCAGGAGAATGGCAACAAATCGACGTATTGTGGAATGCTGTGGGCGTCGGACATGTACTTTGGCAAGCTGGTCCAAGCCCTTCGTGACAAGGTCTGTTGCGGGCATTGCACATCGTCAGCCTTGCCTGAATCCCCCACTCACCTGCAACGCCTGTCCTTGATTGTGCTGGTGTCATAGGGCATGTGGGATAATACCCTTATTGTCTATTCTTCGGATAATGGTGGCGTCGAGGACGGCATCAACTACCCATTGCGTGGCGAAAAACACAGCAACTGGCAAGGCGGCATGCATGTCGCCTCTTTTGTCTCTGGCGGCTTGGTACCCGCCAATCTTCGCGGCTCGGAGAGTTTTGTCAACGTCCACATTGCTGATTGGTACCCCACCTTTGCCAAGCTGGCTGGCCAAGACCCGGCGGATGATCCCCCAGTGGCGCCGCTTCCCGTTGACCTCCAAGACGTGGTAGGCTTAGTTTGTGTGCCGAGTCGATGAGTATGTGGCCTCAATACGCCCCACGCTTCTCCTTCTCGATCCCTTGATACATAGAATAAGGATATCTATGGCAATTCGTCTTTCCCTCCTGTGGATGGCGTGGACGTGTGGCCCTTCATCTCCAATGCCAGTTATGCCCGCCAAACTGATGCTGCCCACCCATTCCTTGTTCTGAGCAAGGAGGTCATCGTGGCTGGTGATGTACGCGCTTGCTGATGCAGTGCCCCCGTTTCGTGCGCCGTCTTCTCTGATATCAAGCCATGCTTGGCCTCTTGTTTTCCAATTTTGCGCTTTTGGTCACACGCAGATCAAGTTGCTGGTGGCGCAAAACAATTTTAAGACGCAAAACAACGGCTGGAAGGTAGGCCGTGCTCTGTTGGCACTCGTAGCTGCAACATGCTCACCATCAAACCCTCCACCACGTTTGATGACTTTGCGCAACAGTATCCAAATGGGTCCTGGATCGCGTCGGATGACGCTCTGTGGCCCTGTAATCAGCAAGACGGACCGTTGGATCAGGTCCTACCCGGTGTACCAGGCCAACCACCTTGCCTTTTCAACGTGACCGCAGGTTTGTCAAAGCCATCTGGAACAGCTGCCGTCGCAATAAGGAATGCGTTACCTCTGTGCTCAAGTGCAACATCCTCTGTCTGGTAGATCCCCGCGAGATGAGCAACCTGGCTCCTGTCAATGCCGAACGCGTCACAGCCTTGTGGCGCCAACTCAATGAAACCATCCTTACTTCATTTCTGCACGGAAAGAGTGGTCCAGCCGGTCTGTCGCTTTGCTCGATATTGCGCGAATGGTACTTTGATGATTTGGCTCAACAGGGTTTGTATCGTTTCCTTCTCTTGTCTTTTTTTTTGTCTTCTTCAGGCAATCCAGGCGAAATTGCACGGTGTTCACCCGCTAGTTTGCTCGGCAACTGCAATGCGACCTGCGCCAAGGTACTGTACTATATAGACTTTCTGCATCCCCTGCCACCTGCAACTGTACAAATGGCTCATTGCGTTGCTTTGGTGCCGATGACGGGGGGTGGGGGATAGGAGCGATTTGCTGACAGTCTCTCGGCCTCCATGCGCGCCACTTGCACCATGCGCGTTGAAACCGGTGTGTGTGCTCATGACAGCAAGGCTGGGATCCAGGTGAAGGTCAATAGCGTTGATGAGTGCTGCCTTGCCTGTCAAAACGAGAAGGTTAGCTGTCTGCTGTCTGCGATTGTCCCACGCGCCTTGACGGCTCCATGCTAATCACTAACACGCTGGCCTGTGTAGAGCTGCACGCACTTTACGGTCAACTGGGAGGATCCACCGGCCTGTCACCTCAAGACTGGCCAGGTTGGCAAACTCGTGTACAATGCAAATTGCACTTCGGGCTTTACGTTTAATGACACCCCTTGCGTCTCCTTCAGCACGCCGTATCCTGTCTGTGGTATTCCCGGCTGCTAAATGCGAGGTTGCGTCAAATTTTCGTAAACGCGGAGACGGCCGACCGAGTGCGTGCAAATTGATGCATGTGTGTGTTTGCATCAAGTTCAATCGCGATCAAGATCAAGCCGCGTCGAGATTGAGATAAATTAGAGTGTAGCTGCCCGTCTGGGCATCACCTCACGACATAGCATAGCATGCAGTTTGCAAAAAGAAACTAAACAAAAAACATTAGAAACTGGCAAGCGCCCAATGCCTGAGCAGCGTGGGGTGGCTCGCCTGGAAAAACCCTTCAGTTGTAGCGATAGGCCAGAGGGGACTGCTCATGGAAAGCGTTTGGTCGGGTAGCTGGGCTAGAAAGCTGGCTGTGCAGGGAAGAACGTGGGCTATGACTCACATCCAAGTTGAGCGCCATTGAAAGCACATTGTTGAGCGAGCTGTCCATGACATCACTCGAGCTCGTACTGTTGCCACCTGGTTGATGGGTCATCTGACGCAGAGGGCTACCCATGCCTCCTGCTCCTGACCCCAAAGGGCCAGCAACTGGAACTTTGCCGAGCGAGCCATTGCCATCGTGCGGCCCGTCACCCATGCTCCAGCCTGCATCGACCATTTGATGCGTCAGATTGGGCAGGCTTTGTGAGCTCAGCGTGGATTCAAGCACATGAAGTCGCGGGGAGGTGGTGGCCGACTGGGCGCTGTAGATGGAGGACGAGTCGAGACCGCTATACTCCGACCCGGCATCACTGAAACCGGCATCGTCATTGGAGCGGTAGACAATCTGAACCAGCTGTTCCAGCGGCACTTCGCAACCCTGGGCCTTGAACTCGGCTTGGCGACGCAGGAGTTGCTGCAGCACCTCGGCGGGTAGGTCCCAGGCAGCCACTGCCAATTTAGAACAGACAACAGGAAACAATTGAATGAGTAAACCGATGGTGTGCAGCGTACAGAGGTAGCATGTTGGGTGCACTGGAAAGGCTGTGCCGCAGAAATCGAACAGAGCCCAACATTGCAACGCAAGGGGGCAGGTGGACCAACCTTTTTCCAGCTCACTGCGCATCAGCTCCGACTCGATTTGTTGCTGCTCCCGCTGGATGTTTTGCAGCCGGACGCGAAGTTCATCGGTGGAATTGCCACGCATGGCTTCGTGGGGCGCGCTCACGGTACCCATGTTGAGGGCGGGCCCAGCCACCTGCAGGCTCGAGGTTGGCTGAATCGGATCAACGCGCACAGAGAGGGGCGTGTGGCCGGGAGGACGAATGGCCATGCTGGCGGCAGCTGACTCTGTTGGGCGCGGTGTCTGGTCTGGTCCCGCACTGCTGGCACGCTGTGGCGACGAAGTGCCGGATGGCGTGCCGTCGGTGCTGAGACGCCAGGCATCGAGCTGACTGATGGACGGCTCTGAATGGCGTTGGGGCATGGGTGATGGTGCTGGGTGATGCTGGTGCCCTTGGTATTGTTGCTGCTGGTGTTGATAGGGGTGGCGGCGGGAGGCGGCCGACGGCGGCGGACCCAGGCTGTGGTTGCTGCCGTGATGGCGCAAAACGGGGTCGGCTCTGTTGAGAGCATCGGCCATCATTTCGGCTCGAGGCAGAATGCCCGAGTCGCTGAGGCGGCGGCGGTGGTGAGGGGAGCTGCAAGGGCCAGCATGATCGACGGCTTCAATGTTGAGGCTGTTGAGTGAACGAGTGTCTGCCGAGTAAGCCGAACGGCTGGAGATGGAGCTTTCACGGGAGTCTGCGGAAGGGTACGGGGCATCGCCATCGCCTTCATGGCCACCGAGTCGCCCTGCACGTCCGTTGCCCTGGGAGGGTCGCATCACACGACGCTGCCTGTGGATTGTTGCGAATGGACGTCGTGAAACCACGGAGACAAGACATTAAGTCGGCAGGAGGGGAGAAGAGGGCAAAATGAAAAAGCAGGGCAGGTCTTACGGGTTGCGGCCAGGAGACTTTGGGGCGCGCTTTTTGCGTGGCGTTCCGTTCATCTCTTGGCGAAGCTTCTTTTCTTTGGCCACGCGTTCTTTCTCCAACATTTCCTCGCGCTGAGACAAGGCCTCAGCGGTAGCAGGGAACATGGAGTGGTCGGTGGTGGCCATATGATACCGGATACCGCTGCACGAGAAAGGACGCAAACATTTAGTGGTGAGACGACAACGAGAGTGAGCCATGGCAAAGAGGTGGGGCGGGCCGGAGAGGGTGCACAATGCGGCGAGCGCGTGTGCCACTCACCCCGAGGTGTTGTATTGCTTGCCACAACCAGGAAACTTGCAGTCGAAACGAGTGGAGCGGCCAAGGATGGTGGGGGAGTCAGCCACAGAGGGCTCGTAGCCTGAGGCGACTGATCCCGTGGTTGATCCAGTGAGAGAGATGCTGTCGGCACTGCCTCGGGCGGATTGCATGAGAGCATTGGCAAAGGTGGGGGCGTTGGTATTGTAGAGCTTGGGGGAAGGCTGATCCGGGGCTTGCGGCACATAGTGGCGCCAGGTGTCGGCGTTGTGGGAGGCATCGGGGGAGGGCGCAAAGGCGGCAAAAGCATTGCCGTTGCAATACTGATCCAGCGGGGTCGGGGAAGGGGGAAAAGGAGAGCCTTGCGAGGAGGTGATTTCCTCCGTCTGCACGCGGCGCAGAGTCATGACATTGCCCTGGAAGGCGTTGCCATCAGCGACTTGGCGCATGAGATCTTGAAGAGAGGGCTTGCTAGCCCGAGACGCTGCTTGTTGATGGTGTTGCTGGGCCTGGCTGTATCGAGCGGGGGGCTGATCAAACTGAAAGACGTCCACCTGGCTGCGTTGGTTGGAGAGGGGCGCAGGGGCCGTGGCTGCGCCACCTAGATGAGCACGACGGGCGATTTAATGTCGACAGAGAACACCAAGAGCGGATGAGATGACCGCGACGGTTTCCGCGTAGCAGACGACGTGGTTTTACCAGGCAGGCAAGCGGGTCACAGATTGATAAAAAAAAAGAGAGACAGAGAGGGCAAGGACAGGGCATCAATCAGGAACGTACTGGCAGCAACGGGGGCCGTCGAAGTGACGGCCGCCGTGGCCGAGGCCGAGGGTAGAGTTCCAATGATGCCATTCAGCTCTTGGTAGAGAGAGCCGGTGAGGTCGAGGTCGAGACCACCGGGTAAACTGGCATTGGCGAGTGTTAGGAGAATGTCTTCATCGCTCCCAAGGGCGTTGTCCGTCTGGACATCCATGACATCGGGTAGTGGGGACCAAGGGGCTGGCGCGTCACGTTGGCGGGTGGGTCGGTAGCAGCGGGATAAGGAGGGCGACACGAAAGAGGGTCGCTTGGACGAAGGCGCAGACTGACGGGCTGAGTTGATTCACGCGTGCAGGCCCTCGCGGCGTGTGTGCGGAATCGGGTGTTGTTGGGAGGGGGGTTTGAGACTAGGTGCGACAGTCGGTGCGACCCCGAGAAAAAAATAGGCAAAGTTGTTTGTGGTCTCGGCGATGGCTACTCGGGGGAGGGAACAACGGCGCGCAAAAAGAAGCGCAGGAGCCGCGGGTGGAAGCGAGTGACGCGTCTTTCTTGGTGCAACGACGGGCGGTGGACCCGGGTCGGGACGGCGGTCGAGGCGAAGGGGAATGAATGCAAGATTGACGATGGGCCTGCAAATGGCAAGGTCAGGGCACAGGGGCAAAAAATGGGGTTGGCTTGAGGCGCGACGCTCGCGGATGCGTCGGTCGGTGTCTGGGGAACGTAGCGGTGATGGGGCGCTCGTGGCTGCCCAGGGGCGAGGGTAAGACTGGCGTTGATCGCAAAGCGCACCAGGGAGCACCGGGGGAACGGACGAGAGCGGCGGCGGCGGTGATGCGTTGCAAATGACGATGGGACAACACACGTTGCGCGGTGGAGGGCTTTAATCACAAGGGCCGAGCGGGCGGCTCGAGCTGACAAACGTGAACAGGCGGGCGGGCGGGGGCTGGCGCGAAAATAGACAAACGGACGACACCCAAACAAGGAGGGGGACAGGCCGATGGTGGGCAAAGTGGCGAGTTGCCGTGCGACTGGACGGCACTCTTTGACGAACGGACGTGGCCGGTCCTTTGTTTTAAACTGCGGCAAGAAGAGGGTAAGGGTGGAAGGGATGATGAAGAAGAAGAAGAAGAAGCGATGGGATCCTTGCTTGCTTTGTTGGGCTTGTCTATCACATCACCACCATATGGGGTGAAGGGGAGGGGGGTAGAACTCGCAGGCACAGTGTGTGTGGAGAGGGGTTTGAGAGAGTCGTCACCCAACACATGAGACCCCGCACGCACGATGAGCGGACGAGCCAGGTTGAGCCTGTGGTCGCTCATGAAATCTTTGGATATGACAGAACCGTCAAACGATCGCCAGAACATGCGTGTGTGGAGTACGTTTGCGTAGGTGTGTGCGTACCTGTGTCTGCTCGCTCGCGCGCCCCAGAAGGGACAGGAAAAGAAGACATGAGCCGGATGGGCAAGCGCGCCAAAAGTGCAAGCATGCATGCAAACACACACACACACACACAGATGAAATGAAGAGGATTCAGATCAACGTCGTGACCCTCCCGCGCTCGAGCGAGCAGCCCTTGTGACTGGGGGCCAACTGGCTTGGGTCGCTCTTATGCTTGCCCGCTGCTGCCTGTTGTGCTCTGTCCCTACCATATTGCCTGTGGCTTGTGCTCTGTCCCTACAGTACGTCCTCCTTGACCCAGTCCATCTCCGTGGCTTTGCCGTGTGGCCCGAGACGCCGACAAGGTGCAGAAGCAAGGCCCTTTTTTGCTTTTTTGTGCTGACGTCGGGTTGCCATGCAGCCGGGAGCGGGCAAGCCACTGACAAAGCCAACCACAGCGGGCGGCCGCTTGCTTCTGAATCATAGGCAAGATGCTTCCGAGCGTCGTAGTGGACATGGCTTCTCCCCCAAGCTCGATGAACAAGAAGAGCCGAGCCCATCTGCGACGTGGATGGGACTGTACAAACTTGCAGCTTTCGATCGAACCAAAAGGCCCTGTCCTGAACCCACTCCTCTTGTAAGCTCCCCCCTTTTTATTTCTTTACTGTGGTACTGCGGTCGCCGATTTTCTTGGAGAGCCCGCGCTGCCCAGGGTGGGGTCGAGTGTGTCTTTGGCGGCTTATGGTCGGTCCTCTCAACTGACCGAGTTGCACTTGATTTTCGCAGGCCCTCCACGTGCCCAAAGAGTGGCACAAAGATTTGCTCGACTGCTCCTCAAAGACGCGATGACGACATGGTATGGTACAGAAGCAGACAAGGTCACTCACTCACTCCCTCGTTTACATCTAATGCCGACGGTCGCGACTTTGATCAACTCTTTTGCACGGCCCTCGCCAAGCCAGGCGGTGTGGTCAAAAACCCAGTGATACGTGGGGGTGGGTCTCACAGAGAACTCACAAGCCTGGCACTCGAGTAAGAACGACCTGTGCTCAGTTTTACAATCTTTCGGGCCAACGACCCGCCCGTCTGAGCTCTGGCTGGCGTTGGTCAGTGATAATTCTGTTTGACCTGCCCAGCAACGCGCCACTTTCAATCCAAAGTCACGAGACACAACCAGGACGTTTCAGTGCAGATCCTCGGGAGCGAAAGGAAGAAAGGGTGTTGTTGAGAAGCATCAGGACGCAGACGGATCAACAGACCATGTGTTGGATCCTACCAGCTCAGTCTGAATCGGCCAGACGTAAGCAAGACGTGCATGCAGGCCTCGGCCCACCCGCATGTGCTCTGCAATCGGCGATGCAAGTAGACCGCCCGTCGGTGCAAGGCTGGCTGTTCAGGAGAGCGAGGATCTCGGGCGGCGTCATGGCCAGCAATCAAGTTGCAGCCTCAGACGCGCTTGCCCTCGATCCACGATGGGGTCGAGCGTTGACCCGAGATCTTGCTCATGGTGGTCCCACTTGCTTCAGCCAATGACGACTGATGTTTTACTCGTGCAAACGAAACATCAAACTCTGATTTCGTCGACCAGACCGTACGCCCTTGACCCGGCCCTCCACACCTTCACGAACGTCGGCAATGTCCTGTTCGGGGTCTATTCAAATGACATCGCCGCGCACAACGAAGCATGCATGCAACGACATGCCAAAAAGGGGCAGGCGAAAAGTAAAATACATCCCAGAAGGAAATGTTATTAGTAAAATACTTTTACTGACATTCAAGTGCGACTTTTGAGTCAGAGTGAAAAGTGTAGTGAATGTCACACTACCGCTGCAGCTTTGATATAACGGCGATTTCACGCTGGCCCAAATCTCTGGGTCAATAGAGGGGCACAGGCCGCTTCTCTTCATGTTATGCTATACATTAACGATTCTCTCAAAATGTTTTCTTCTTGCATCTCCTCTCTGTGTCGCTTTGATTTGGTCTTTAAAGTGCAAGTTTCTGCCTCGGACTCTGCCCTTCTCTCTATCTTCCCCCACCTTTTACTCTCTCCCTCTGCCCAACCCTTTCTCAATCTCCATCTCTCTTTATCTTGCTTCCAAAGCTCTCTCTGTCTCTGCCGCCATCTCTCATTCTCTCTCTCGTCGTAATGACGGCGCTGGTCCGCGAGCCGGCGGTGGCGGTGGCGGTGGCGGCGGCCTCGCAAATGCAGCCGGACGAGGAGGCATGGGCAAGCCATGAGCCTGTGGATCCCGAGTGGCTGCCTTCGGATACAGCAAGCGATGGCACTCACAGCGTTCACACACCGCCCTCCTCAGCGGCCTCGGGCTCGACCATCCGCCTCACCGGCGGGGCTTTGAATTCTTCCAATCAGGAGCCTGTACGTTGCTGTGGCTGTGCTCAAATTCCTCAGCACCCACCCCCGCTCAAACACCCACATGGACAATGACCTCAAGATATACGCGTCAAACAACCTCGCCCTTTTTTTTTTTTTTTTTTTTTTTTTTTTTTTTTTTTTTTTTTTTTTTTAATCGACTGTGCCACTCTCCCCTTTCCGCTCTCTCTTGCTTCGCTCCTGCTCATCGGTCCAAACTTGCATCTCCTTCATTGGGGCTGCACGTATCGACGTTTCGTTGTTACCTTTTGTGCAGAACATGATGGTCTACGAACCGACAGAACCGCTGCCCATGGCCACGAGTCAGCGAGGTGCTCCGTCCCCCACCTTTGTGGCCAGACATGGCGCGCCAAGTAGCCCTGGCCCCGAGCCCGCAAGCGTCGCGATCAAACCCCGAGCTCAGCGACATATCCGCGTAGGTCTCGGCCCCGCCCGCTTCGTCTCCAGCCCCGCCTCCCAGACATTCCACCTTTCTCTGGCCATCCACACTCACATCTCATCATGCTCTTGGCCCATCCTCAAACGCCTTGACCCAGGACGAGCGTGCGGCTGTGCGCAAGCGTGCCATCTTGGACGAGCAGAGCGTGGGCCACCCCCTGCCTCCGCCAGGCACCATCAGACACTACCGGCGGGCCTCCGGCTCCCATCCCAAGTCCCGCCCGGCACCCAATCAACCAAGTCGGTCACGACGCAAAATAGCCACCACCTCCAACTCGGCCTCATCCCAAGACACCCCAAACTCGGCTGCGGGCACGCATCGAGCACAGCGCATCACCCCCTTCTCCTGGCGCTTGCATGCATCGGCCAGCGACAAACCCCGCTCTGCCAAACCCAGCCGCCCAAATGCCTCGACCGAGCGCAGGTCGAATCCCCCTGCTACTCTGCCGCTCCCCGCCTCCAAAGGACCCGACGTTCTGGACAAGTCGAGTCGCTCAGCGTCCCCGCCACCCCGACAACCCATCTCCAACCTTGATCCCGAACTACTGGCCCGCCGCCTTGAACACCGAACCCCAACCCGATCACGTTGGGGTGGCTCGCTAGCAGTGCGTTTTATTGCCGTGGACACCTCGAGGCCCACCTGCTTGTGCTTTCCCCAAACGCCCCTCCTGTTTTGATCTGTTCATACCATCCGTCCGCCCACGCCCCCTGGTTTTTCCATAGGACAACGCGCACTCGGCCTCGACCCATCATCGCGCTGGCCGTGCCGTGCCTTGGGAAGAACGGCCCGAGCACACTGCCGTGGTCGACTTTATGCGCCGCAAGCGCCAACAGCGCAAGGTACGTTTTTGCCCTTTGCCCATGCCTCTCGCCATGTCTCGCAGCAAATCAAGATGTCTGGGGCGTGACCCATTCCTCCGGTTCTGATAGGCGCAAACAGCCGCCCAGCGCGAGGCACATCGTGAAGCAGAACAGGCCCGAAAAGAAGCGCTCAATCGCCTCGACGAGCTCCGTCGGGCACAACGCGAAGCTCCTGCCCTGCAAATCTGGACCCATGAGGCCGAAGATGGGGCCGAAGATGAGGATGAGGCTGTAGCCTCTGATATCGACGCGGGCGATGGACATCGTCACTCCAGCGCCGATTATGAGGCTACCGATCGCGTGTCTTCCCTCCGCTCCACCACTGCCGATTCGCACGGTCATCTCGCTGGTGGAATCGACCCCGCCTTGGCCGGCCGTGTCCCAATGGGGCTGCAGTCGCGCGCGCGCCTAGCTGCAGCCGCCAACGCCATGTCACCAGCCACGTTTTTGCCCGACGCCAGCCCTGCTGGTCAACCGGACGATTTGGCTCCCGCGATGCTTCAGCCCTGGGCTCTGGCCTCGGGTCCACGCCCTACCACAGCAGACAGTCTTATGCTGGATGCAACCGAACACTTTGATCTCTCCTCCAGCCTCAATCCAGCCGCCAGGCGCTCTCAGCCATCCACCATGCCTCTGCCCCACCAGACCGCTGGCGAACCCGAGCATGTACTGACCGAGCTGCTACGCTTGCACGATCGCGTGCAAGAGCTGCCCAGCCCCGATGCCCGTCAGCCCAACCGCCAGCGATTGCGGGAACTCCTCGGCGCTCTGCACTCGGTTGCCACCGACCTCTTTGAGCCCCTCGCTCGTGAGTCTGCGGATTCACACTCAGTCCCACATCAACCAGATGAGCTAGCTACAAACTCCGTCCGCACGCGGCAGGAAGAGCTGGCCGCTGCTGCTGAACGAGAAATTGAAGACCTGATCATGGCCACAACGCTGGAGCTTAACAACGCGTCGCCTGCAGCAGGCACACATCCAGACGCGAGGCCTGCCCTGCCAGGTGAACTTGATCTCCGCTCTCATCTGGCAAGCGTCGAGGCTCAGGAAGCTGTACGTCACGCACCCTGCCCACTTTGTGTTCATTCTGGCCGCGTGTGCTCGCGCTTGCTCTCTGTTCCACTCCAGACTCGATTCATTTCGAAAGAGCCTCTTGTCTCAAAATGATGACAGTTTTTAGCCATGATGAACTCAATCATTGCCCCTGCCTCGCATCACAATGTGCTTTTGTTGACAGGCGGAGCAGCAACGCCAGCAAGCTGCTCGCCAACGGCTCACGCGCCCAACAAGAGAGCCATCTTCGGACCCACTAACCCCCCGCCTAAATCAACCAGAGCAGGCGAACCCATCTCCACAAGCCTCCTGGCGCATCGACCTGGACGCCCCCCCTGCCCGCCGTCCCGCATCACCTGCGAACCACACGATCCAGCCCCGCGCTGCACTTGCCGTTCCTGCACAGCCCGCTCCCACCTCCCATCACGGGGAAGAGCCCGGCCTGCTGGAGCTACTGCTGCGACGTTATGGTGTCCAAGATAATGGCATGCAGACACAGGCCGTGGCAACCCCTACCCGCGTTGATACAGCGGTCCAAGCTCCGGGTAGCACCGATCAAGCGTGTCAAACATCAACGGTGGTGGCTGCTGCTTTGCCTGACCACGAAGAGCTCGTTGCAGCTGGTCTTGTCGCAGGACGCCTTGCCACCGATCAAGAGCCTCATACGCATGCAGAGCCAACACAGCCCTTCGCGACGACTGAAAGTAACCTGTATCGCTCCGACGCCATCCCACCTGCGGGGTCGGGCTCAGCGGCTGCCTCCCGTTCAGACTCGCCGTTGCTGCAAGACGAGGATGGGAACTCAGTGGAGCACCGTGGCAGCCCAAGCCCAAGCCCAAGCCCCAACCCAGAACGGGACGCCAGTCCCATCCAGCGCTCGACTCCACGAGAGCCGGAAGAGGATGTGCGCTTGGCCCCAGATGACCTGCATCGTCAACTGCTTGGTGAACTCAACCTTTTACTGACGATTGACGAATCGGTGCGTGCTGATGAGCCCCCGCTCTCCTTTTGCACTCCATTCCGCTTTTCTCTACTCTCTTTGCTGCACTCCATTTCGCTCTTCTCTCATCCAAATGTCTAAATGTACAACTGACCGCCACTGCCATGATCCACAACAGCTTCAGCAACTGGGCGTTACCTCGGAGAGCATGGCGCTATCACACGCGCAACAAGAAACTGTGGCTCTCGCTCAGGTTGGCATGCTATCCAATCGTGCCTTGCTCCACAGTTGACTCGTCCCCTTTCGTACCTCACTGGGCATTCGCCCGTCGCCCAATAGCTGTTGCAAGCACGGCAAGCTGAGATTACTGCCATCAAGTTGGAGGCCGAAGAGCACCAACAGCGTGTCGTGGCCGCAGCCGAGGAGCGCGTGCAAGCAGCCAGCGCCATTGCGTCGAGCGAAGCGGTGGCGCGAGTGCGTGCTGACCAGCGGCGCGATCGGCAGGAGGCGCAGGCTCAGCTGGACACCACGGTGCAGTTGGCGACCAATGTCTTACAAACCATGCAGCAGCAACCCGCTGCCCTCTTGGACACACAGCGACAGCTGGCCGAACCTGTTCTAGCAGAGATTCGCGGCACGCAACGGAGCCAGCGTGAGCTGATTGAAGCTGTGCGCGGCCTCGTCGATGCCATGCACGCGACGGCCACAGCTGCCCCGCCAACGGCTGCTGTCGCAAATCACGCACCCGCTTTCTCTGAAAGAGCTGCCCAACCCTCCGCAGTGGGGTACTCGGAGGACTTTGAAAATACCGGCACCTCATTGACCCTCGAGGATTTGTCAGACCTTGCCGGCCCACCAGTGCCGCAGCCCGGACCACACAGTGAGCCACACACTGATATACAGACTGATCGCAGCAGCCCAATGCCAGTGAGCGACGGTCCGCAGCTAAACTCTTTTCAGGGCACGTCGACACCGGTCGAAACCGGCAGCGCTTTTGATGTGCCTTCCGAGGCACCCTCGGTCGTGTCGTCAATTCCAAGTGCAACAGCTGATGTTCCGAGCGCCATCCCGACCGCTTCGATGCCCGTATCTTCAGCAATACAAGTTCAGACTTCTGCACGCAGGTCGCTACCCGCACCGACAGCCTCAGTTGCCACCGCAGCAGATGTCTCCGACTCTTTTGCCGCCTCGGGGAGCACTGACAAGAGCGTTCCGGATGATCTCGTTGATTCCAAACCTGCAACCAAACCAAAGCCTCGCACTCTCCCTCCCGACTTGAGCAACGATGCTGAATCTCCAGCGGCTCTGCCAGATGGGCCACAAGTTCCGTCTTTTGCACGCTTTGAGGAGGACAGCCGGCGGCACGCAGAGCGTAGTGTCCAAGCCGAAGACGAGTCTCTTCGTTTGCAGCTGGAAATCCTCCAAGGACAAGAGGCGGTTTCGCTGCAGCGGATTGAGGAGCGCTTGACACGCGTGCGAGCTCTTCTCGGTAGCAGCTCACAAGGTGTGGGGCGCAGCATGCTCGAGCGACGCTTGCAGGCATTGACCCTGGAGCACGATCAAGCCCGTGCGTACTTTCGTGCTCAGCGTCAAGGCATGGATGCCGAGTGCATGCAGCGTAAGCTCGGCATCTGGCGTCGGCACGAAGATGCCATTCGCGACTACTATCGATACTTGCGTGGACAAGAGCAGGACTTGGATCTGGGAGCACCAGAAGACTCTGCCCCATATTCAGATCTACATCAAGCGCCTATGCACAGCAAATCTAGCGCCATGCCAGTGGCCAAGCCGCAGCACCACCAGGCTCAACCTCTGGCTCAGTCTTTGCCGGCCCATGCCACACGCGATCCTGTTTCTGATTTGTCAATGGGCGAAGCAAGCGACGTCGAGCCGACCGCCCTTCAGACCCTTCCAAGCACAGTGGAAGCCGTTGAACGAGCAGCATCCACGTACTTGCAGCGGCGCCAAGCCGCTTTGCAGGCTAAGCGGGAGCAGCTGCAAAGTTTGCAGGTGCAGCAAGCCGAGTACGTCCGCATGCGTGCGCAGCTGGATGAGGAGGAGCGTGAGCTAGCTCAGCTTGCTCAGGAAGCCATTCTGCTTCATCGACAGCGATATCGCGTCAACCAATCAACTCCGTCCCGTCACAAGACAACGACGGTCCCGAAGCAGTCGGCGGAATTGCCCTCTGCGTCTCTAGGCTATTCGGACGATTTTGAGCCTTCTGCATCGATTGGTGACGCCTCTGATGGTTTTAGAAATGGCAGTTTTGTGGCCAGCTTCGAGGGCTCGGCCCCTGCCACCGACGTGCCCAGCTTCGAGGGCTCGGCCCCTGCCACCGACGTGCCCAGCTTCGAGGGCTCGGCCCCTGCCACCGACGTGCCCAGCTTCGAGGGCTCGGCCCCTGCTACCGACGTGCCCAGCTTCGAGGGCTCGGCCCCTGCCACCGACGTGCCCAGCTTCGAGGGCTCGGCCCCTGCTACCGACGTGCCCAGCTTCGAGGGCTCGGCCCCTGCCACCGACGTGCCCAGCTTCGAGGGCTCGGCCCCTGCTACCGATGTGCCCAGCTTTGAGGGCTCGGCCCCTGCTACCGATGTGCCCAGCTTCGAGGGCTCGGCTCCTGCTACCGACGTGCCAAGTTTTGAGGGCTCGGCTTCCGCGATGGATGTCATGGAGACGAATGCGCCATCGGTCATTGACAGCTTTGCGCCAGACCGCAGCGCCCCTTCATCGTTCAATGGAGGCTCCACGTCCAAGACTGCCGAGAGGGCGGCGGGTGAAGCCTATTCAGACTCGTTTGAAAGCTTTCATCCCTCCACGGCTCACTCAACGCCCAGTCGACCACCACCCTCTGCCCAGATGCTTGCCACTGTTGTGGAAGCGGACATTTCGTTGGGTACTGACACCGAGGAGGGCCATTTGCAAGAAGAGATTGCCCTCTTGCAGGAGCAGATTCGCTCACGTCAGCAGGAACTGCGGCAGCGCGTTCACGCGCAACGCAAGGCCCAGCTGACGCACCAGCGCTCACAACTTCAAGCAGAACTGGATGCCTTGGAGCATAAGCTGCAAGACGTTGCATCTGCGCCGGTACCAGAGCCCACTTCGCACCAGGCATCGCGGCTGCCAAAGGACGACCTGCAGGAAGCCTTTGAGGAGGCAGATGAATATTCGGAAGACTTTGAGTCAAATCACGAGCCGACCTTTGTTGACACCGCACCACAGTCGATTGCCGAAGCGTCGTCACCGAGGGCCAGCGTCCCGCGAGCATCGCAACGCCCATCAGTTGTGGATGAAGAACTCAGCGACTTTGATGCAGGATCATCCTTGGCTGATGAAAGGCCACAGGGGGCGGTCGCTGCTGCATCCACAACGGCCGGCGCACTGGCTACGGAAACAGCCTATTTGGATGAAGACTTTGAGGACGATGATGAGGAGGTATCTGATGCAGTCAATTATCCAGGAGCAGCCGTAGAGGGGCTTGACTTGGTCTCATCTTTCGAGGCCTCGCCAGCTGGCGAAGTAACCGACGCCTCCATCGCCTCTATTCCTGACGAGGCAGAACTGCCGGTCTCTGATGTGGTCTCCACGCGGGCCAGCGATGCGGTGGCCCTCGCGTCATCGGGCAAGGACGGCTACTCTGAGGACGCCTTTGAAGAAGAATCGAGCGTGGCCTCCACTCTTTCTGAACCGAACGCAGGCGGGGAAGTGCTGTCAGTGACGCTTCCAGCTGCCAGTTTGGAGCCGAGGCTCGCGACAGGCTCCGAAGAACTTGAAAACCAGAAGACGCTGGTTGCCAGTGAGTCAGCCGATGAAGTGGAGGTTTCCTCGGTGCGCTCGCTCTCAGGTCTAGCAGCGCTGAGTGACCCGCGGGAGAGCGATGACAGCTTTACGAGCGTTCAACGTCAGGCTGAGGTTGTGGCATCCCAGTGGGTTAGTGATCTTGTGGAGGATGCCATTTATGACATGTTAGACCTTGTGCCTCTTGAGCTTGCCGAGGGCGAAGAGGCAAGCCCTTTGGATGAACCAGCATCTTCGCCCTCGTCCACGACGCCTACGCCCACGCCGCCCCCCGTGGTCGCGGTAGAGGACGCCTTCACCTCTCCTCGCCGTGCGGGGGGCACGCCCACATCACCGACGGCCGAGCGCGTGCAGCGCCTTCAGGAAGAGCGCGCTGTGCTCTCACCCCCGGTGACCCCGGACACGGCATCAATGGCTACACTCGATAATTCCGGCTCGGATGCTTTTCTTGTTCATACGGTGACACAGGTGCGTAGCTGGCATTTGAGGGGTTGACGAGCTGAGATGTCTATGCTTGATCTGCAAGCAATTGGGAATAGATTTATTTTGCTGGGGATGTTCGCTGTGGGGAAACACCAAACCAAGGTGCTTAGTGCCATGACACAATCGCCCGCTCACTGCACTGCATTGATCGTCATTCTTTCGGGGGATATAGATGGCGCATGACTTTGTGGCTGCGGGCTGCCCGTGGGATAACTTGCCTCTGGATTTGCCCACGTCCCGCGGTTATCGTCGACTCTCAAGCGAGCAGCTGCAGCTGTGTGTGGATCTCTTGAACGAGATTTTGCTCAGCCTTCGTCTTGATCTTGGCCATTCGGTAAGTGGAAATGAGCAGACTTGCTATGATACTTGCGCTCTACTCGCTTGTTATTTTGTGGTCGAGTACGCGTTGGGATCTCGATAGTTCATGACTTTGTGCACGTTTGTGCTTTAGACACGGGCGTGGTATCTTCCAGCACCCGAGGGCCCAACAAGAGCCGTGGCACCGGGCCAGCTTCCAGCTTTGGTGCAGCACCGCCTGGAGGGGTTGTTACGAATTCAATTGCAGCCAAGTGGTGCTGAATTTGTTGAGCAACTAGCGACGGACCTCGTAAGTTTTTGGGTTCCATTTTTTGGGGGGGCCCAGGCCTGTTGCTCCACGGTGCTTTTTTTGATCGTTGTGAGTGAAAGTTTCGAGGCCTCACAGGACACTTTTTTTCATCTCTAGTATGCGCCTCGACAAGTCACATGGAGAAACCTGCTGAGTGAAGAAGACATGCTCATAAACGAGGTTCGTTGGGGTGCTTGTCCAGCCGAAGAGTGTGGCATTGACCTGGCCAGTCTCACCAGTGTATGGTGCTTGCAGATGGCAACAACATTTGTTGAGCACGAGCTGGCTGAAGCTATGCACGCCATGGCTGGGGACCTTGATCTCTTGGCCATTTAAGCCCCTTTTTTGCTGTCATTGGCGCTGACCCGAGTAAGACCATCCCAAACACTTTATTCTATCACATCTTGAACATGAGAGTTTCAGTAGTAATTATTAATTTATAGTGACCTCACGTTCTCAGCTCAATGCTGGACTACCGCACATCCTTACCAACTCACGCACTCACGTACCTTCCCTTTACCTACTCTCATGCCCCCACGTCCTCACGTCCTCACGCCCTCTCCTTCGCACACATTCCCAGACACGCAGACGAGCAGGTGAAAATTAAATTTTTTGCTGATTCTCTTGTTCTTGAAAGAGATGGAGAGATCAGAGAGAGAATTGAATTGGTTAGAGAAAGACCTACACAGCAAAGGCACAGAGACACAGCAAAAGTACCACATGAGAGAGAGAATTTAAAAATTTTGTCTGAACAAAATGCTGGCATCATCGGCACAAATGCGTTGCTCCGGTTTGCGATCGGGGCTGATCGTGGCCTGGCTGCTCGCGTTGCTGGGAGGCTCTGTGCGGGCGCAAGCAACCGTGGATGCGGCTTGTCAGAAGGTGCTGGACAACTGGTGTAATGGTCTGGAAGATCAAACGGTGAGCAATGTCTCTTGCCCGCCGAGCTCACCCATCTCGCCCGTGCCGTGAACATTGAGCCGTCTCTAATCGGCATCCGCAGTGTGTAAACGCCTTGTCAAGTGCAGGAGCCGAGTTGCCCCTATATGCGCGCTATGATGTTGCAGCGAATGATGACGAGAAGCAGTGGCGTTGCTACTCTCCAAGCAGCTTGACCCCAGGTCTGCTGCTCTGTCATGTTGTGACTGTACACTGCGCGTCAGGTTTATAAAGGCTTTGCCGCCTGCGCTCGGCTCACTCTCGCTGCCTATCAATGTGCAGATCTTTCGGGCTATTCCAACGGCACATCTTACTGCACGCGGTGTGTCTCAGCCAAGCTGCACCCACCCCAGGCTGTACCAAGCAGGACGATTTTTCTGTGCCCAGCCCCTTGAACTCATGGCATGTGTCCTGGTAGAGAGCAAGAGATCTTGGATGTGATTGCCGATTGCGATGTCAATCGCACCCAGATTGCTGTCTTTACGCCGGGCGAATTGGGCTATCCCTGCATTCGTATTCCCTCCATTCTGCTTGCCGGTGACAACCGCACGCTTCTTGCCTTTGCTGAGGTCAGCGGTCGCTCCGCCACGCGTTTCGATTCCACCACCGTGCCTGCCCACCGATCGGCACGCTTTGAATGCTTACCCCATCCGTCAGCCTCTGCGCATTCACCGTGTTGCTGATTGGCATTTGCATTGCTGTGTTTGCATGATCTCATTTATGGCAGTGTCGCAACTGGACCGGAGACGGGTGCGAGCCGCAAGGCTTTGAAGGTATGCCTTTGGTGCCATCCTTTTCCTGGTTCGCTTGCTTGGTTTCCAACATGTTGCTGTGCCCTGGCTGCCAACACTTTAGATGCGCGATATAACTCGACCAGCAACGCCAACCGTGACCTCTGCATGAAGGTCGGTCGAGGCAACCTAACATGACTGGACGAGGCGTCAGCGTGCCCGAGCCTTGCTGATAGACTTGATAGCCATTGATCTCTTCATGATTGCTCCGAACACAGAACTCTACTGATATGGGGCAGACATGGAGCGCCTTGCATGTGATTCAGCGCAATGCCGCACAGCCCATGCCCGTGTGGGACTACCAACAAAACCAACTGGTCCTCAACTTTGTTCAAGTGAGCTCCTTTCACCCCTCTCACGGCGTTGGCCACGCACTAAATGACTCACTCTCGTGTTATTCATCTTCCTCGCTTTGCTTCCTGCTTGCAGCTGACCCCCGGAGATAACTTGCAGAGTATGAGCAAAGACTTTGGACAAACTTGGACGCCGCGAGGTACATGTCCAAGCCTCGATGGCAGGTAGTTGGCCCATCTCGCTTCATCTCACAGGCTCGCGCTGCTGCCGAATTGTAAAAAGTTTCGTTGTCAAGCTATCTGCAAAGTGCTGTTGTCTCGGCTGCTGGCCCTGGCGTGGGTCTACAACTCAGGTCGTGCGCGTTTTCTGCTGTTTCTCCACCGACGCTGCTGATACATCAAGTCCTCACTCTGTTGATCTTGGTGCAGTCCTGGACATGCTGTCGCCCCCAATCGCCTCTTGTTCATTGGCCACCACGGTGCCTATCAATATGACAGCGTCTGGTGCGTGAGATGATCTGGTTAGCAGATGCGCCAGTGCGCACGGGGGCTTCTGTGCTCAACCTGCTCCGTGTGTTCCTAGGTACTCCGATGATGGAGGTCTGACTTATAACGTGAGCAAGACCAACTTTACCTTCATGGACGAAGCGCAGCTGGTCGAGTTGCCCGATGGGCGCGTCATGGCCAACATGCGCAACAATCACATCAACGCCTGCAAGTGCCGTGCCTATGCTTTGAGCGAGGATGGTGGCGCAAGCTTTGGAGCCATTCAATTTGCCGACGCCCTTGTTTCGCCCGTCTGCATGGCCAGCATTCTTCGCGGCCTGGATGGCAACGTACGCGTGCTAGCCCCTACCTCTGCTTTTCGGCTCCAGTTGCGGGCGATTGATCTTGGCCTCGGGGCACTGTGATTGATGTATAGGTATACTTTGCCAATCCAGGCCAGACCTCTGGTCGATCTGGGGGCATGCTTCGTCGGTCTGCCGATGGCTTTGCCTGGAACCAAAGCGCGCTCGTCTGGCCCGGATCTTACGCCTACTCGTGCCTTACGCACGTGCCCAAGGTATGTTTCATACCCTTTCAAAACCTTGAGAGCGCCTCATGTTGCTGCGACCGTGCTGACATTGCCCCTGGCGCTGTCATTAGTCAAACTGCATCGGGTTGTTGTGGGAGACCTCGGCTCCCGACTGCACGGGGGACAGCTGTGTTTGTGTCTTTAGCCGTCTGTCCACGGCGGACGCCTCCTTTGGTGACGATTGCTGATTTGACGATATTATTTTTTTTTCCCCCTGTGTTGGATGATTGAAAGCCCAAGTTGTGTTGAAATGCTGCAATCATGCGCAAAGTGCCAAGTATGATGGCTCAATTTATTTCCACCATGCCTTGCGAAGGATGAGCTGGGACGCGCTCGGCGCGCCCTGATGAGAAAAACAAGCAGTCGCTACCCTTGCGAGAAAAGCATGTCGGCGGCTGCATCCACGTTGTTGGCCGTGCGTTGCAAAGCGGCTTCTGCCTGGGCCCGAGAAAAGCCGAGCTGTTCTAGCTGAGCAATGTTATCCTCTGTAACAGGACTATAATCCAAAAGGAATCACGACACATGAGCGTAAAAGCGCATGAGGGAAAGAGCAGGGAGGAGAGCTACAAAATTGAAATTTGCTTACATCAGGCCGTTGCCAGCACCGAGTCCTTGGGCGGGATGTGCGCCACCCAACAGATTGTCCGTGAAGGGCTAGATGTGGCCATGGGTGCATGGCATTGCAACGTGAAGCGACGGCACAAGAACGCTAGGGATTCAGGACAAAGCAACCAACATACCCGATTGCCACTGATGGTGCGAACACGTGAGTGCGGCTGGGTAGCCGTACCTAGCCCGGCTGTGCGTGCCTGAAGTATAGAAACAAAAGGTCGTGAGGTCAGACCAGCCGGGGTGCGAGTGCGTGAGCCATCCAAGCCAAAGAAAAACTGCAAACGACGTGCCGTCACAGCTGGCAGATCGTCCTGAAGGAGCCATCCAAATGCAAGCTGAAACCCGTGGGCGATGGGGCGGGGGATGGTGGGCTTGATCGGCAAGGCTCGGTGGACAATGGCCACGATGACACCAATGGCAACGGAAAAGAGCGTATTGAAGCTATAGAGACACAACTGGATGCAAAACACCGGATAGTCAAGGCAATGAAGGATGCGGAGCGGGTATGGCGCAGCAGCTGTTCAATTGCCGCAAGGCTGGGGTGGACTCACATGTGCGAGCATGGCTATGCCCAGCAGTTTGCCAGGCACCCAACCTTGCCGACTCTCCGATTGCACGTCCAGCAGTAAATTGATGAAGAGACCGCCGATCAGGCTCGGGCCGCCTGGCGCAGCGGTACGGCAATGAAGGAGACAACGTCAGGCTCCTCGAAGTGTGTGATGAAAAGAGGTGAATGCTTGGGATGCGACATCATACCAGGGACAAAGCCGGGCAAGTAATTGGCTCGCACAAACAAGTATTGTACAAGCCACGAAACCATGACCAGCCAGCTCACAAGACCCTGTCGTTATGAAAAAAAAGGCATTTATGGTCAAAGGTTCGAATATAGTCGGCAAGAAAGACTGGCCGAAAGGGAGGAGGAGGGGGAGGAGGAGGAGGAAGAAGAAGAAGACGACAACAAGACAACGACGACAACAACGACGACGACGACAAAGACGCACTCCGAAGCGGCGAGAGCCTTGGTAGCGCTCGATGGGCCGTGTGAGGTAGATGAAGATGCTGCCAAACAATGCAGTCGATCGATCTGGAAGAAGGATGGCATGGAGGGGCCACGCCAGGAGCTGACAAGCAAGACGCAACATCAGACGGACGTTTGAAAGACCGGGGCGGGCTATGACGGTCAACAAACGCTATCCATGCCATTCACGAACCTCGCTCACGGCCCACGGCGAGGTGGGCACAAAGCAATATTCAGGCCAGTGGATGGCGCTGCCAGCCAGCGCCGCCAGCCCCGTCCCAATCATCAGACCCTAGACAGCAGCAATAGTCATTCAAATGCTCGCATTCCACCGCACACGAGCGGCGGTTCCAAGCCCCCTGAGGCCAAGCAACGCCCACCACGCACCTTGGCCACAGGAGCACCAGCAAAGGTGTACAAGGCTGCCAAGGCAGCCGGTGATGATTGAGCCATCCCCCGCGCCACTCGTTCTTTCAACCCCTTCAACACCTCACCACCGCCGCCACCGCCGACACTGAAACTGCTCCAGATATCGATACCGACACTGATACTGCTCCGAATACCGATCCTGGCGCCGCCAATGGATACCGACGCTATACCGACGCTACCACCGGAGGACACCAACGCTGCCACCGGAGGATACCGACGCTGCCACCAATGCTGCCACTGAATACCGATGAATACCAAGATGCCGATATATAGCGTCACGGACGGCTGGTCCTTGAAAAATGCAAAAACAGCAGCAATACAATTTCGTCTGACTTTCTGCTCTCTCTGAAACTCTCTTGTCTCTCTGGATCTCTCCCTCTGGATCTCTTGCTTTTCAAATCTCTCTCTTGCTTTAAATCTCTCTCTGGATCTAAATCTCTCTCTCTGTGGATCTCTCCCTGGATCTCTCTCTGGATCTCTGGATCTCTCTCTGGATCTCCCTCTGGATCTCTGGATCTCTCTCTGGAGCTCCCTCTGGATCTCTGGATCTCTCTCTGGAGCTCGCTCTCTGGATGTCTCTCTGGATCTCTCTCTCTGCATCCCAGAATAAATCTCTCTCTGGATCTCTCTCTGTGGATCTCGCTCTGAATCTCTCTCTCTGCATGTGTCTCTGGATCTCTCTCTCTGGATCTCTCTCTGGGTCTCTCTCACTAAATCTGAAGCTACCGTCTCGGGATTAATCTCTGGCGATCTCTGAATGCCCCTCCCTTCCACACACCATCTGCGGAGGAAAAAAAAGGGAGCGGGCAGGGATGTGGGCACGAATCATTTGCTGGTTGTACATCAATTATTGATTTGTTGTTGATCTGGACTGGCCACATCATGGGAACACATTCTGGTGTAGATGCCGATGGAAGGAAGGAGTCTAATTGTCGGGTTTGACGCGACGCGCTGATTTGGCAGCGGGTTCACCGGACGATTCAACCTGGCCCACAGGGATGATGGTGACCCCGTTGCTACTTGACTCGGCCTCGGCACTTGTCACCATGTTGCCGCTGGCATCGTCAGCAACCACGCCCGGGGCTGTGGTGACGGCCACGGGGGCTGCACTGGTATCGACGGTGGCAGGGGTCGAGCCGTCGGTGGTCTCGGCATCAGTGGTGACCGAGGCAGTGCTGGCGCGCTTGTCGGCGTTCTTGGGTCGACCCAGGCTGGGTTTGGGGTTGTTGTTGGGAATGACCAGGCCAGCATAGTCGGTGGGACGCAGCTGCACCTCGCTCTCGGCCACGGCCATGATGAACGGCCAAGCGTTGATGTGGTAGCGCAGGTGGGCCTCGTTGCCGCGCCAACCAATAATGGGGGCGCCCGTCAGAGAGATGCAGCAGATGATGCCGCTGCGCAGCGCCACCTCCAGAAGCTTGCGGATGGCTGCACGATACTTTTCCGGATCCCGTGCGTCCGAGGCCTTGAGGCTCCGAAGCTCAAAAAACACAAAGTTATCAAGACCAGCGGTTTCCCAATCCGCGGGACAGGGCTCGTAGCCCTTGTCCGCCAACAACAGGGCGCGACGACTCGCCTCGTAGCTCACGGCAAAGGTTTTCTTGAGAAAGGGATCCGTCTGGAGCAGCCGCCCCATGACCGAGGCTGAGACAGCGCCACCGGCCCAGCGCTCGAGAAAGGTCTTGACCTTGATCCACCAATTGTTGCCCTCTGGCGTCATGCGAAACTTGCTCACGTTGCGACCGGTATCCTGTAGTTGCTGGAACAGTTTGCTGTGCGTCGTCAAAGCCTGGTGGACTCCCTCGGACAGCTTTGTATCTCGCATGGTGCGCGTCCAGACCTGGGCCGTCGTAGCTGCCTCATGCACTTCTTGCACCGCACTTTGCAAATGTGCCAGCCCGGACGAAGTTTCCGCAGCTGGCGCCCCCGGCTGCTCCGCCATCATCGCCGGCAAGGACGGCACCGTCGGCACTGGCCGCGCCGCCTCGGTAACTGGCAGCACCATCGGCGTCGCCGTGTCACTGGGCAAACCCGCCATCCCACCTTCTTTTTTTTTCTTCAATTTTCTCCGCAGCCCCCGACAAACAGGCACCTAAATCAATCACCGCACAGCTCTTTGGCACCAGCCACAGACGCGCCAGTGACTGACTCTCTCCCGTTGCCGCCCGGGCCGCCCCTCTGGCTTTGATCCGATTCGAGAGAGAGAGAGAGAGAGAGAGAGAGAGAGAGATGAGAAAAAAAAACGGTTGAATGGTGTGGCGTTTGGTCGGTATATCTCTGAAACAGCACCATGGGATGCTCTTTTCTCTGACTGGCCCTTGCATTTGACCAATGCCATGGATCAGATTTTGCGCTCCTCTCTAGATCCACGACTCGCAGCATCAACACTCTCTCACTCCATTCGGATTTTTGAGGAATAGTTTTTTACTTTATTTTCACCTTATAAACTATTTTACTATCCAACGCCAACGTGCTACCACATGTCTTTCCGAGTCAAAGCTTCAGTTACTCTCACTGACTTCGCCCTCAACTTGCTTTGACAATGATGCGTGCGTGCAAGGTATTTGTGCATGCGCGCAAAGCGTGCGTCCTTCCAACCTCTCTCGTCTCGTTTGCCACGCGTTTGATCGCCTGTTCGTCAAGGGGATCGACCGTTGTGAGCACGGCATGGATACAATCCTCATTGTGATTGACATGTTAGGACCGCTCCCACTGCAACAATGAACCTTGCGCTATTTGACGGTTTGACTCACACCTCGCATGCCGCCGATCCACAACGCTGTCCCAATAGCCCGTTGTGCATTTTTTGTTCATTTCCCCAAAGCCCGGTGCCATCCCCGCCGCCCACTCGCCTCGCGAACCGTCTTCTTCTTCTTCTTCCCGGCGCCCCGCCCCTTTTGAGTGGTATGTGATCAAAACGCCATCGTGTCTTGACTCTCGGCACCCACGCACCTTTCTCGCCTCACCGCCCGATGTCAACGTGCAATGGAACACAGCTGTGCAGCCCCGCCGGGCCCAACAAAAATGAGAGGGGCTTTTTCCTCGGCCGTAGCGGCCATTAGCCTTTTGCTCCTCGCCTCCCAATGGAGGCCGGCAGCGGCCACATGGGTGCTTGGCGGCATCGGAGAGTCCTGCGACGCTGCTTGTGCTGATCAAACCACCCTCCCTTGCAATCAGGAGACTACCGACACCGTTCGATCCCCCTCTGAAATCTCATACGTCTTCGAAGAGCTGAACATGCCCTCGCAGTGCACCAGCTTTGGCTCGCGGGGCAATTCCTACTCGCCTTACATCCAAATGTCTCCTGGTCCTTGCTACTACATCGGCCCAGTAGGCACGGCCTCGTGCTCATCCTCCCACACCGATTACCAACGCGTGTGCTGTTGTGGCCATAGCGCTGCCGACTGCGACATTCTCAGGTCCACCAGCTCTACCTCGAGCACCTCCTCCACCTCGAGCACTTCAAGCACCTCCACCACCAGCTCTACCTCGAGCACCAGCTCGACCTCCTCCACCTCAACTACCTCGAGCACGTCGAGCACCTCCTCCACCTCGAGCACTTCAAGCACCTCCACCACCAGCTCTACCTCGAGCACCAGCTCTACCTCCTCCACCTCAACGACCTCAAGCACGTCGAGCACCTCCTCCACCTCGAGCACCTCAAGCACCAGCTCCACCTCCTCCACCTCAACGACTTCAAGCACGTCTAGCACCTCCTCCACCTCAAGCACCAGCTCCACCTCGAGCACCAGCTCCACCTCGACAACTTCTAGCACCTCCTCGACCTCGAGTACCAGCTCCACCAGCTCCACCTCGAGCACCAGCTCCACGTCCTCAACATCCTCAACCACCACATCAACGACCTACGATTTGTGCCCCCAGCTGCAGAATCCAGGCTTCGATGCCCTTCTCCTGGAACCCAATTCGGAGACGGCCACCCCGCCGTTGGAACCCAACACCTGGTCCTTTTCCGAGGGGCGACTGCGCGTCGCTCACCCCCCGACTCTGTTTGGGCCTACCACAGCTCATTCCGGACAAAACTACATCTACTTTGCTCCGACATACGATGAAGCCGATCAGGAAGCAGAGTTGCAGCACGTCATGGACGTCACCATTCGCCCACTTACTGAGTATACGCTGACTGCTTGGGCCAGCCGCTCGGCTGTGGCCGCTGCCGCCGCTAGTGCCCAAGTCTATGACTTTGCCCCGCTCACGCTCGAGCTTCAAGCCACCACCACCAACCAAACACTGGCAGCCACGACCTTTAGCGTTGAAGACGTGGTCACCGATGTGTGGTCGCCCATCACGGCTACCTTTCGCGTTTGGGAATCCCACGATGCGCTCTACGACGGGTTGACCGCTGTCCTCCGAGTATCCGGCTCCGGGGCCACCATCGCCGTCGATTCATTTGAGCTGTGCCGCGAGATGTTGGACACCACCACCACCACCACGACGTCCACCACCACCACCACGACGTCGACTACGACCACCTCAACTACGACAACGACCAGCACCACCACCACCACAACTTCCACCACAACAACCACGACCACCTCGACGACCACAACCACCTCGACGACCACAACCACAACCACTTCTACCACAACCACATCCACATCCACTACCTCGACCACCACGACCTCGACCACCACTAGCTTTCAGGAAGTCTGTTTGCCGATGGCGGATTACTCCTTTGAGAACAAACGGGTGGGAGCCGGCAAGACGGACACCCCCTTTACCAGCACCACCGGAGGTTGGCAAATTGCCAGCTCTGTGGCCGCGGGCGCTCGCCTGTATGCCAACACCAGCTCTCTCGTTCCACATCCCGCCTCTAGCCAGGATGGCAATCAGGCAATGGGCTGGATGAGCTCCAGCACTACCAGCACTGGTCTGTGGCAGGACACGAGCCTGACCTACACGGCCCAGACTCGCTACCGCATCAAAGCGCGCATGGGCTACAGCTCTCTCATCTCGCCGCCCCAAAGCTATTTCCGTATGGAGTTTCGCACGCCCGCCAACGACGCCGTTTTGTTCCGCCTGGTCCAAACATACAGCCAAACTGATTATGAGGAAGAGATTTTGGAGCTGATCACCGGTGAGACGGAGACGTACTTGGGCTCGACTCTTCGCGTTGGCTTCTCCAGCTTTCTGTCGGGCATCACACCTGTCTTGGATGCGGTCGAGATTTGCTACCAATACAATTACGCGACAACCACAGCCACCACCACCACCACCAGCAGCACGAGCACAACAACGACAACAACAACTACCAGTACCACCAGCACGAGCACTACCACCACTGTCGCCACCACAACCACGCTCACCACCTCCACTACCCCGCCCACAACCACCACCCCTTTCACTGTCGTCTCCACAACCGTGAGCGCCCCTTCGGAATGCTTTGCATCATTCACCCAGCTCATGCTCGCCAACGGTAGCTCGGCACCCATCTCAGCACTCACCACCGGTGACATGCTCAAGTGCGTCAACCCCAACAACGGCACCGTGGAAGATTGCCCCCTGACCACACTCATCCACGCCGAGCACACGCAACAAGTCCAGTTTCAAACGCTATCGTATGTCGATGCACAAGGCATCGATCAAACCCTCACTCTATCCGGACCCCACATGGTCTACAAAGCCAGCGAGCCCATGGGCAACTGCGGCCCTCTGCCCAGCGGCTCCTATCAACCCGCTAACAATGTCAGTGTGGGTGACCTGGTCGTGGTCTATGAGGACAGCTGCCTGCGCACCGTCGCCATCTCGGCCGTTGGCTCGGCCATCACCATGGGCTTTTATGCACCCTTGACGTCCGCGAGCACCATGATTGCAGAGGGCATTGTTTCGTCCGCCTTTACGTATCTGGGCTATCAGATCGGCCAGGATCTGAGCCACGACCTCAAGCACATCTTCTATTCACCCCTCACCGCCGTCGTGGAGAGTGACCTGCCTGTTCGCGAATACGACAACGGCCTCCACCCCTACATCAGCATGGCCACCAACTACACCTCCATGGTACCTCTGGAGCAGAAGGGCAATGCTTTGCGGACCATCATGGGCTATGTGATCGACATCTACTATGCCAACGGGGGTGCGCTGACCGTGGCCGAGGTGGAAGACATCCTGCAAAACGTGACTGCCTCGTACCAAAAGTAGAGTGCTGGCGTCAACTTCGTGCTCTCCAGACGTTAGGAGCCTGACATAGGACGCGAACCAACGAGAGTTTTTGTGAGTTTTTGTTTTGCGTTCTTCTTGTTGCATTTGCTGCATGATATTTCTGTTTTTTTTTTTCTTACGTGATGCCCGGGCACGGTCAGCAAGGCGCGTTTCTATACGCAGCCGACGTGGTCCGACACACTGCTTGGCCGTGACTCTGCTTCAATCGACACATGCTCTTCTGTACTCGTCTCATTGACATACATCCTTCAAGTAAAAAGAATAGAAAAAAAAAGAACAAAAAAAGAAGAAATTCGAACAAAAAAAGTGAGAAACAAGCGTTTGATAAGCAAACACACACACACACACACACACACACACATTCACATGTTAAAACTTTAAAATTTACATCAAACCATCCATAGAGGAACCTGCATGGGATTTTAAACATTTTATTAAAACAAAACTGATCACATCAATTTATTTAATTTTTAATTTTTAATTTTTTTTTAGGGGCGGAGATGGCTGCCATCGCGTCAGTGGAGGCGGTGGCCACGCCGCTGCTTCCGGGCGTGCACCACCGTCTGTTTTCAACGCAGGCGCTGTTGAAGCATGAGCAGGATGCGGCGGCGGCGTTGTCGCAGCAGCTGCAACAGTGCCTGACGGATACGGCTGATGCATTGCTTGAGCAGCGGGCATACGTCCAGGCCTACCTGCTCTTGCAGGATGACCGGCGCGAGCTGGCCAATGTCCTGCAGCAGGCCCTGCAAGCACCGCAGGTATGGTGCTTTCTCTTGGTCCGAAAGGCTTGTCGCTCTGGGGGGCATGAAGTTCAGCTTTGGAGCCGTTGCTCATGGCCGCCATGGCCTGTGGCCGTGTTGAAACTGACAGCTTGCTCAGGATACAGTCGTGGAGGACAGCGCCCCCTACAAGGATCTGCAGTCATTGGTCACGGCTGTGCGTCAACTCTATGAAAATCCAGAGACCGTGGCATATTGCTTGCATCGCGTATGTGCGCCCGCACTTGCCTGACCCTTTTTGATTCTCGAGCACGTGTTAATGCCCGGCGGGCCTCATGCCCCCACCATGCCTGTAGCTTGCCCGGCGGTCTGCCAAGGATGCTGCCATGTGCACCACCTTGGCCCAAACCTACTTGAGCGAAGTACTCAACACGCGCAGTGCTCACGCTGATGAAGCTCGTCAACTCCAGTTTCTAACAACCATCCTGGCTGATGGCTGGGCAGCACGCCCCAAGGATCGCCCCCAAGCGCTTGGGCTATGCCCACGGTAAGGGCAGTCGCACACGGCGGGCCCGATGCTCGCTCGAAAGCAGCTCCAAGCTCACCATCTCACCCGTATCTGGTCCCATGCAGAGCTTTTGCTATTGCCCTCGTTGCACCCGTGCCCTCGGTAGTTCAGCATGCACGTTTGGTGGCCGAGCAGCTCTGGGCTGTCTGGCCCCAGTGCCCCACCGACCTGGTGCCGGCCTATGAACGTATAACCACAGGCAGTGATACCCAAAGCATTTCGTGCGTGTACATCGCGCGTCGTTAGTACGCTTTCGGGAGCTCTGAAAAGACGTACTCCAACTGACGCAGCTGATCCCATGGCTCACTGTTTTAGTGTCAATTCCTGGGTGCGGATTCTCAAGGGTGCCTTGGCACAAGCGCTTCTTGGTGCTCCAGTTTCGCCGGAACTGCGGTGCGCACACGATGCCTTGGACTTGCTTCATAACAATCACCTCGTCACCTCATGGCCGTGCTCATCTCACATGATGCGACGGCATTTCACAGACGGGTCTTCACAGAGGCCCTGCAAGGCGCCGAGAAAACAGTCGCTGCCCAATGGACCCGCTCCATCCTGGTTGAACGGTGTGTATTTGATGTACTGTGGAATAGCCGAGACTTGATTCCAGCTTTCCTTGAAGGACCGAAGGAGAATAAGCTGCATATACACGAACAAACACACAACAATCACACAGCAACAACAACAAGTACACAAGCCTTCACCGGCTTTTCTCACCCCATTGCTCGTGTCTTTTTCTGGGCCGAAGGCTTTGGTTGCCTGTTTTTTTACAGCCCCGCCTACACGGCATTGCCCCGCGTGCCGTTGATCGACATGAGCGGCGGCGTATGGCCATTACCGCCGTGCTTGTGCGCCAGCTATTCGGGTGCCGCAGCCTGCCCCTTCTCGAGATGACAGCGCCCAGGTATCGTGGACATGGAGTCGCTGGATTTGATCCATGATGCCGATGGCATCTCATCCCGATGCCTGTCGGACTACATTGTTCAGGGATGAGGAGCTCTGTCGTTTATTGCACGAAGCGGTGTGGCGGGAAAGCAAGCCTTCTGCTGTACCAATGTCCGGGGCGACCGAGGACATGATTGTCAATGTCGCCCGCATCAAGCCTTTGCTGGTAAGGGTTGGCAAACCGTCATGCGCAATGCTCCTGCCAACAACTCATCATTGCTGTTTGGCTAAAACTAATGTACGGTTCGGGGTCTGTCTTACAGTCACATATCGATCTAGCCATCTCAAGCCCCGATGCCAAACCGAATGGGGCCACAGCTGAATTTCTTCAAGGTATCTCCTGCTGTGGGCTGTTTTGGTTGTTTTTTTTGCGGTGCGCGATATCGACCGGTATCTTACCATGCTACTGAGCATTTCTAGCCATTCTGGAGGCTCGCAAGCAACTCGAACGTCGTGCCCCTGATGGACCTGAGGACTCATCGGATGGTGAGCACTGAGCCGTCTCACATAAGGTTGACTGGAAAGCTGTGCGCTCATTTCATTCTCTGTGATTGTGCGTGAGCGCTCCTCCAGCAGACGATGCAGATTTAACGCTTGCCATTCCAGTGGCGGGGTCCTATGGCAAGGCCGATATCCTGGCCGCTGATGCCTTTGTACAACTGCGGCATCCAGAACATCATGCGCGCATGAAGAGTTTGCCACCTGGTATCAGATGCATTGGTCTCTTTCTTGGCATTCCTCCCTCGTCTGTGTCAAGCACTCACCACGATCGCGACCTTGGCGGGGGCGTGCTTAGCGGTGGCGGCTTTGGTACGGCGTTTGATCAAGGCTGCCCAGACCCTGGACCCGTTGGCCTGCAATTTGTCCAGCATGGGTGCTGCCGGCTCGGGTTATGCCGTACAGGGGCTCAGCTTCTTGGGTGACGTACTTCTTCACGAGGTGAGGTGTTTGATTGATGCGCGAATGGCCAGAACCTTGTTGTAATTTGTTTGGGATTCAACACCCGCCGTCGTTTGTTTTTACGACCCGCTTCAGGTGGAGCGGCTTGCTAGCCACGTGCCCAGCGAATGGCGCCCTCCGAATAGCCGAGCGCTGCAAAGACTGTTGCATGCGCATGCGGCCATCATGCAGGTTTGTGAATAGAGAGACTCGCGCGTTCTCATGTCTCAATGCGATTCTTTTTGCCGCGGCACCTTGCTCATGAGTGCATCACAGAATTACAGTATCTACATGGTGGAACATCGATTTGCCGTGCATCGCCGTGTGCAAGTCTCTAAACTCCACCTGACAGCGCTGGAGCGAAATTTGGCTGAGTGGCGAGAGGTCAGTGTCTCCAAATGAAGCAGATATCTGTAAGGCAGCGGAAAGCAGCAGGTGTGCTTATGTGCCGAGTCTTTGGTGCGTAGTGGTGGTTGGAAATGCTGGCACAATATGTGTTCCAGCGCAATACACGCCTTGAAGCCAGGCTGCTGGCAGCTCTGGCATCCGTCGATGGCCCTTCCACCGGTATGTGTGTTGTGCTTGGTCGTCATTTACTTCATGCCAAGGCTCACCAGGATGGTAAGGTGCGATAGATGGTGAAGGCCCCGTGGCCTCTGTTGTAGATGAGGTCAACGACACCTTGTCGCGGGTGGAGAGCGTTGCCGTTACACTGTCTTTGTTTGATGTTTGTACTGGCCTGCGAGCTCAGCGTCATGCTCTGGCAGAAGACTGCAAGGCAATGCTGATGATGTTGCTGCTGCCACCGATGGTCTGTTAGGCGTTGAGTTCTTCGGCTCACGACCGTTTCCTGCTCGAGTGTGAGGAGCAGCTCTATGCTCGCTTGTTTGACCGCTTGTTTCCGCTTGGAGCCGAGGTACATACTTGTTCTTGCAACCCTCCACCAGCGAGCGCCCACCAGGTCAAGGTGCTTTCAACTCATCTGGGCTTGTTCCACAGATGAGCGAGCACAGGCAGGCGCGCATTCAACGGTCACGAGCGGGGCATCCCAGTTTTGAGGTTTGTTGGGACGTGCGTGCAGCGAGATCTTGCCCGGCCTGACATTGATGCGGCTCTTTGTTTGATGACGTGATAGCTGAGCGTTAAACAACGGTTGACGGCACCCTGGCCGGCACCGGTTGCCACGCTCAAGCTGTTGGGGCTGTGCAAGGCACCTTGGTCGTGTCTTCGCGTCATCAGCAAGGTGCGTCAGACTCGCAACCTTGTCCACTTTCTTATTAGGGTTTTCGCTATCGCGACACAGGCTTCTCCTCTTCTTCTGCCTCATATATGTTAATTGTATGACTCACGTCTGCCAGGCCTGCAAGCAACTCGAGGCGCTGCTGGCTTTGGACGTGGGGGTGGCTGGAGCAGACGACATGTTACCAGTCCTCATCCATGTTATCGCGGAGAGCACGCTTCAGCGTGCACCCGCTATAGTGCAGTACTGCAATGCATATGGAGCAGATCTTGTTCAGACAGGGGAAGGGGCTTATTGGTTTGGCCTGTTTGAAATGGCAACTCAGTACCTCTGCACCTGCGAGCTTGTCGACTAGCATTGATGACCACGTGTCATCTCAAAACTGGTCTGAAACGGTTATCAAGCCAAATCCTGAAGATGCTTATGATGGCGTTTTATTCGAGCTTGCATGTTGTTTAATTCTTGCTCCTGATGTTTGCGAATGCTTGTGGTGGATGTCATCGGCTGGACCGAGAGTAAAATCAATTCCGAACATCGTTTGCAAACTTCTTACTCGCGGGTAAGCAGTTCGCGGGAGATGATAACGCGCTGGATCTGGGCGGTACCCTATCAAAAACAGCAATGTCGTGTAAGGTGGAGGGGTTGCGTCAGGCAGAAGCGATTTTCGAACGGGGAAGAACGAACCTCGTAAATCTGGTAGATCTTGGCGTCACGCATGAGCTTCTCAACAGGGTAATCAGAGTTGTAGCCGTTACCGCCAAAGACCTGGACGGCATCTATAGGGTTGAAATGGCCGCAAAAACAAAGCAAAACAGAACAAGGAGTGAACTTGAGCGGAGCAGCACACTTGGTCTACCGCTAGTTTTGAGCAGTTGAAGCCAGACTGACCGGTAGCGTTCTTGTTGGCAACATCGGCGGCAAAGGCCTTGGCAATCGAGGCATAATAGGTGTTGCGGCGACCCTGTGTTCAAGAAAATGGTCAGGTCACGCCCACAATTGAAGCAATGGGAGCAGCGAAAATGGGAAAAAAAAAAAAAAAAAAAAAAAAAAAAAAAAAAAAAAAAAAAAAAAAAAAAAGAGAATACTGCAAGCACATCATCCAACACCCACCTGGTCGACCTCCCAAGCCGCACGGCGGGTGATAAGGCGTGCCGTCTCAACACCGATGGCCATATCCGCGAGCATGAAAGCAACGGCCTGGTTCTGTGGTTGGGCAATAGATAAACGCGCAGGCCAGAAAGAGCGAGTTAGGAATCATAGGGAACCGCTGCGAATGTCATTGGGCAGGGCCTGTAATTGTCGTACGTCAGCAATGGGGCGACCAAAGGCCTTGCGGTCCTTGGCATAAGCGGTGGCCTCATCAAGCGCACGCTGGGCGAGACCAACGGCGCCGGCGGCAACCGGGGGACTAGTGGGAGCAATATTAATAATCAGTGAGGCGGGCGAACAAGGAGAGGCTGGCACGGCAGGAAATGTAAGAGGCCAAGACTCACCGAGTGCGATCGAAAGCGCCCATGGCAATCTTGAAGCCATCGCCCTCGGCACCGAGACGGTTGGCGGCGGGAACGACAACGTCTTCGAAAGTGACACCACGAGTATCGCTGAAAGACAGGGATGATTGTCAGAGCTTGGATGGGACAGACAGTCTTCATCATGGCAGGGGGCACGGCGGACATTAGTACCTGGCGCGCTGGCCCATGTTGATTTCCTTGCGGCCTCGAGTCAGACCGGCCGAGTCACCATCGACGATAAAGCCCGTAAAGGCCTTGCTGGCCTTGGCATTCGGGTCGGTCTTGGCCAAGACAAAGAACCTGTTATCAGAGGAAACGAAGAGGTCAGCGTGACACCGAGCGATACCTCTCAATTCGGCAAAGCCATAGGGTTCTTACCAGTTGGCGTGGCCTGCATTGGTGATCCACATCTAGACGAGATGATGGGGCCATGGAGTCGAATCCAGTCAGATTCAGTGAGAGATGTGTGCGTTGCGGTTGGTAGATGGGAAAATCGAAAGCAGACGTTGAAGCTCTGGAGACCGAGGGGGACGTGGGAAAAGGAAAAGAAGGGACACGGACACGAACGCGGACACGAAAACGAACACGGACACGGACACGGTCACGGACACGGACACACGGACAGAGGCAGAGGCACACTGAGGAATGAGAGGATCAAACCTTGTTGCCGTTGAGGACGTAGTCGTCGCCCTTCTTGACGGCGGTGGTCTTGATGCCGGCAACGTCGGATCCAGCAATGGGCTCGGTGACGCCGTAGCTGGCCACAAGGGGTTCCTCAGTCATGCGGCCAAGGTACTTTTTCTTCTGCTCATCGTTGGCGGCGAGGATGACGGGCATTTCGGCCAAACCGTTGGCCTCCATGGCGGTCTGCACACCCGAGCAAGCCCACGAGATTTCCTCGGTGATGATGGCACCGTCCAGCGAGTGGAGGCCCATGCCACCGTAGGCCTCGGGAATGTGCAAGTTGAGGAGGCCAAGGCCGTGGGCTTGCTTGATCAGCTCCCAGGGGTATTCACCAGTGCGATCGAGTTCAGGTGCTTGGGGCAGGACCTCCTCACGAGCAAACTTGCGTGCGAGCTGCTGAAACTCGGCCTGTTCCTCGGTGAGGTCAAAACCATAACCGCTCATGGCGCTGCGGGTGCTGGACAGAGCGCGCACGCCCTGGGCCGCCACCGGCGTGAAGCCGCGTCGAAGACTTGAGGCCAACATGTTGCTATGTAGTGGTGCTACAAGTGCTGCTGCTAGTCAGGGAGAGGGGGAGAGGGGGGGAGAGAGGGAGAGAGGGAAAGGGGCAAGGGATGAGTACGATCAGGATGGGATGCAATAAAAAATTGATCACTGAAGTGGCCCGACGAGCGTTGAAAACATGCCAACAGCCACACGAAACACGATAGAAACAACAACGAAAAACGCTGGTTCATTCACTTCTCACGGCCAACCAGCCAAAGCCCACACGCTGCCATCACGCGACACGCTCCCCGAGCGCGTCCCCACGGACACACACACACACGCACACAGAGAGAGAGAGAGAGAGAGAGAGAGAGAGGAAAACATCAACAACACCACTCTGTGCGACGATCGACAGCAGCCCAAACCCCGCCAACCGCCGCCGGTCCACACCGCCCACATCCCCCTCCACCCCCCACCCAATAACCTCAACCAAACCCCAACACAGACACCGACGCCCTGACCCCTGACCCCCTGGAACCCTGACCCTGGCTGCCCTTTTCCAAAGGGACCCCAAAGGGCCACACACACACACACACACACACAGAGCAACAGCTGGTGCAAGCAGGTGCCTTCACGTGCCAGTGACTAACACACACACAAGATGTAAAATACAAAACTCTCAGTGTGTGTGTGTGTCTCTCTGCTGTTTATTCTTTTCCAATTCTCTGTTATTACATGTGGTAGTTGTGCTATTGCTCTGTGCCTTTCTCTTTCGCTCTTTCTTTTCGCTCTCTCTCTTTCTTCCTCTTTGCGCCATAGGTCGCCATCTCTCCATCTCTCTTGCCATCTCAAGAGTCGCGTGGGCGGTGGGGAAGAAGCCTGAAGGCCGTTGATAGGGAAAGAATCAGGGAGTGGATGGGTGGATGGTTCATGCTTTGGAATCCTCTTCTGGCGTCAAGGCTTGAAGCGGATGGGAGGATGGATAGTGTGTGGGTGCCGAAGGAAAACAATGTTTAGGTGGAGGCGGTGTCAACATGGGTTCGGGTCCGGGCGAGCTAGCAGCGTAGAGTACAATGCTTAATTTTGGTAAAGACAAGTGCGCCAAGCAAGGGCCAAAACAGCTCACACCAGCGAGTAGCAAGAGGCAACCGCAGAGAGCGAGGCCATGATTTGCATAGGCTGGGACAAAAGCACACGGCACAAGGCTCATCGGCTGAGCTTGTTAACAAATTTACACCATGTCGACGCGAGTGGAAACCGGCTCCCAGCCGACTTCCTCGCAGATGCTCGCGTACAAGGCCGGGCTCAGGTTGGCCTTGACGATCGGGTGCCAGGCCTTCCACTGCTCCTCCGTCGCCGAAAACTGAAGCGCATGCGCAAACACACGCGCACGGGGCATGTTGCCGGGATGCGCCTCCAGAACGCGCATCGCATATCCCACAAAGTGATCAATGTTCATCTTCACCGCTGCTGGCAGCAAATGCTCCCGCATGGCCTGACGCAGGTTGAAGCCACTGGCCGCCAGTTTGGACACGCAGGGCATCATCACGCCCTCCTCCTGCTTCAAGTGCGCCTCATTGTTCTCCGCCCACGGCGTGAAGAGCGCGCGCAGCTCCTCCAGCTCGGCGCCCTTGTCCACGGCTCCCTGCACAGCATGCTCGGCACCATGCAGCTCCTCGTGCAGCTTGGGCAGGTCATCGGCGACGTTTGGAAACTGCTCATTCAGCATGGCAAACATGCCCTTGCAGACGCCATTGTAGCCGTCCTCCATGGCGGCGTGCATCTTGTAAAACTCCATGAGCTCGTTCCAGGACTTGTAGAAGAGATCCTTGTCGTTGGCCTCGAGAGCAGCACGGCAATCCTCGACACCGCCACGGATGACCTCGTGGCCGTTACGCATGAGAGCAAAGATCATGGGGCGAGGCTTTTCCGCAGCGGGGGCCGGGGTGGTGTCAGCGGGGGCGGCTGGGGCTGCTGCAGGGGCCGGAGTAGTGTCAGCGGGGGCGGCTGGGGCTGCTGCGGGGGCCGGGGTGGTGTCAGCGGGGGCGGCTGGGGCTGCTGCGGGGGCCGGGGTGGCCTCATCCTTTTGATCCGGCGTTGTGGGCTGCAGTTCGGCGGCCTTGTCGGCCGCCTGAGCCTGGTGCTTGCTTGGCAAACAACCCATCTTGAGAGACGCAAGCAAATCTAAAAAATGTCAGTCGGGTAAAGGCCATGGTGAGAAGAGTGGCTCGGTACGTCAAGCAGAGATCGTGAACCGGCAGCAGCAAGGCTAAGACAGAGGTAGAGCAAAGTTGGAGCCAATCACAGCACCACGAGAAGAGCAGCTCGAGAGCGGCGGGGCACCCGCTGAACATCAACGAGATCCAAAGAGCCCTCCATAAACACGCTAAGACAGAGCGCGTCGCGACAACAACAGCAGCAAAGGGCAAGAACCATAGCAAGGCAAACACAGCGGCCCAACAACAACATCAAAAAGAGGGACGCAGAGAGGGAGACGCAGAGCGGGAGACACGGAGATGAAGCCGCAGAGAGTCAGAGCGAGGACGAGAGAGAGAGAGAGAGTTGGCCCACGTGAACCGGGACGAGACACGTAAAGTTGGCGACGGCGTGCGATCGGGGCATGGTATGGTGTACACAGAGAGGGCAATCAAGGTGGTGTCTCCCCCGTGTGGTGTTTGGCTCACACCGGCTATCGGCGCTTCTGACGCGACGCCGACGCCGCTGCCATTTCGTCCCGGTCAGAGATGACAAAGGACGCCGCCGAAATTTCAGAGAGGATGCCAAATCACGAAGTTTTACATGGGAAGAGATCAAGGCAAACACAGAGAAGATGTCGATAGCAGGGAATTAGTCAGAGGGACAGCACAGCGCAATCGTTCATGATACCTGGTTGTCGACTTTGAAAAATACAAAAAAAAAGCAGCAAATGCATTCATCACACGTGTAGTGTGTTTTACCACACGTGAGCTTGAGATCTAGTTGTAGAATAGAGCAAAGTTATCACACATGAACGTTATTGTACCACACCTATGCACTATAGATTGCCACCTTACACACACATGGGCAAAAGAGACTTGCAACAACGCTGTACAACGCCTAACGTTAATCAAAAGGTACAAGCAGAGATAGGATGTTACCAGCAGCAAGCAGCATCCGCCCACGACAAACCCCGTGGTTACACTTTGTCACACATTCCTTGTTGTGGGATCGATTCAACCCCTTTTATAAATGGGACATTGTTCACTTCACTCACGAAACAGGAGGTTGTTCATTCAATTTTGCAGAGGTAGTTTTCATCAATTTTGCAGAGGTAGTTTTCATCAATTTTGCAGAGGTAGTTTTCATCTTGTAGAGTATTTCCACACGCTCCAAAAAACCAGACCACACATGCACGCAACTTACACAACGTTAACCTTAACAGACTTTACACACATGAACGCGCACATCGTCACACACACACACACATGCATTTTGAGGCTGGGGCACGGGCCAGCGTGGCGTCACAAGGGTGCGCGCGGGACTTGCCATTCTTCACAGGCAATGTGATGCATGAACCGACGACCTGTAGCACTGGTGCGCAACTAGCAGTCTAGACAGGTCGTGTGCCCTTTTTGGAGGCCGGAGCCTTGGGTCTGCAGCCGTTTTTCTCGTGCTTTCCCAGCACGTTCAAGCGAGACAATAGATGGCATCCTTGGCTCGGGTGCGCCATGGCGGGTCTGGCAAAAGTCCAGCTGGTCTTGGGCCTGCTGCTGAGTCTCAAGCTCGAGCCGTGGACGTGCGCTGTATCTCAGGAAGTTGAATTGCACCTCGACTTGAATGCTTCCCTCCACCTGGACGGGGCTCGCGACCTGGTCATCCAAGGTTGGTTTTTTGTTCAACTTGGCGCGACCTGCACCCACTCCATGAGTCGAGCCTTTTCTTCGCTTGCACTGCTCGTCCTCCACCCACTTCTCTACCAGCGGCGCCATCTCATGCCTCAACTGTTTTTCTAAAACATCTCCATGTTCCTGACGTGCGCGATGATCGCCCCACCACCAGACAAGAAAATTCTGACTGCATTGGCCACGCTTGAAGCACAGGTGGCAAACTTGACGGCGCGGCTGCCACCCGATGGGATTGCCGTGCGTGTCGATGTCAACGACACCGTTCATGTCGAAAGCAATCGCCCTGGCCAACGCGTTTTGTTCAACGGGGTTGATGTTTTGGCTCTGGAGGCGCGTGTCCAAAATGCAGAGTCGCAGTTGGCGCGGGCCGCTGCCGCCTTTCCTGGTGCGTTGGTGCCGGCCATCAACGTGATTGGAGGCCGATTTTCGGACCGCACGACCATTACGTCGGTGGAGCGTCTGGTCTCGCCCACAGCAGGTTGGCAACGGTCAACACCCACGCTTCCGGGCATTGGGCTGGTGGCCATGGCCGCCGTGACCTTTCGGGGCCAGGTCTATTTGTTGGGCGGATTTGACGGCAATAAAAGCGTCTCAACGGTGCACATTTACAATGGGGTGACGTTTGAAACTGGTCCCCCCCTGCCCCAGGGGCGGTTTGGTGCTGCTGCGGCCGTGCATCACGACAGCATTTACCTCATGGGCGGCCGCGAAGGGTCCTGCACGGCTTCAGTCTTGCTGTACAATGGCCGTGCATGGCTGCCTGCACCGAATCTGGACGAGCAGCGGTGCTCGCCGTCGGCTGCCGTCTTTCGTGACCAGCTTTACGTGCTCGGAGGCTGGACGGGCACAACCTTTCTCAATACGGTCGTGGTGCTGAGCGATGGCGCCTGGATTGAGACGGCCCCCATGCTGGTAGCTGCTCGCGCGCGCAGTGTGGCTGTCTTCCAGGATAGCCTCTATGTTCTGGGGGGTGGCATCGACGCTGACGTGACCACCGTCACCAGCGTGGAGTCGTTCAATGGTACGACTTGGGTGTTTCGACCTTGCCTCCCCACGCCCCGCGAGAGTCTGGCTGCCGTCGCCTGGGCCAACCAGCTCTTTGCCATCGGTGGTGTCAACGACGATAAAGCCACTGATGCCGTGCACGTCTTCAATGGCACGGCCTGGAGCGTCGGCCCGTCACTCCTGACGCCGCGTAATTTCCCTGTGGTCGTCCTCTATCCCCCGTTCTGACTTGAACCCATTTTCTTCTGAGAGATACCATAATAAACTCGCCATGGCCGAGGGCCCCCGCCACCTGATGATGATATACCCTTGATAATACCTACATCAATTGCATCCCATACCTTCTTTCTACCTCGCGTCCCCCCCTAAGCATCTGCCCCCGACCGACCCGATGAGCTTATGCTCCTAAGAACAATATAGTGTACATAGGGTCACACTTTACGTAGGCGCTGTCGCTTTTGAGTAATCGTACACATGTACCCTACGCAGCCCCGAACGAGTGGAGAACAGTTGTACAAAACAGCTATTCTGAACGAAGATAATCTGTTGTAAAAAGCGGTTGTTTTGATCGGCGTTTTTCTTCCAACACGACATTCGTTGCCTGTCTTCTCTGACTTTGGATCCCCGTTGAGTCGTCATCTCTCTGAATCACGATCCAACGCTCTACCATCTCTCCTTTCCCCTTTATTTCTTCATTGATAGCTGATATCCCCCAGGCACATCTCTAAACTCCCACCATCTCCACACCACATCCTCTGCCTCTCAGTTGTCCCGCCACCCCCTTCTCTACCGCTCGGTACGCCTCCGCTCTCTCTCTCTCTCTCTCTCTCTCTCTCTCTCTCTCTCTCTCTCTCTCTCTCTCTCTCTCTCTGCTCTCTCTGCTCTCGCTGCTCTCTCTCTCTCTCTCTCTCTCTCTCTCTCTCTCTCTGCTCTCTCTGCTCTCTCTGCTCTCTCTGCTCTCGTCGTCGTCGTCGTCGTCGTCCTCCTCCTCCTCCTCCTCCTCCTCAGACCGCTGCGCCTGGTTCTCCTCGGTGGTGTGGTCCATGTGTATACCCCGGCTCTTAGTCTCGGGTCCTTTTTTTATTTATTGCTTGTTCTTCTTTGCCTTCTTATCTCATCCTTGTGCGCGTTCTGCTTGCTTGCCATCCGATTCCGTGCCGTGCCGTCGGTGCAGATCTACTATAGGTATAGCCCTCTCGCGCCACGCCGCACCGCGCCGCGTGCTCGTTTCTACCCGCCTGGGCTCTCTGACCTGTTTTGGTCAGGGTTGTGCCTGTGGGGCATGGCTCGGGGGATCAAGGCATTGTCCCTCATGGCGTTTTTCTGGTATACATAGACCGACATCATGGCGGGCGCATACAACTACACGTACATCTTCAAGTACATCATCATTGGTACGCCTGCCGCCCGTGACATCAGCTTCTTCATCACTGCTGGCGCCGTGGACCCACCGTTGATGTGGTAGTGAGCTGCTCGACCTCATGTGCCGTTCCGGTGCTCAAATCTCCTTCCAACGCTAGGTGACATGGGTGTGGGCAAGTCTTGCCTTCTGCACCAGTTTACCGAGCAAAAGTGTACGCGCCGTTCTCTCTCCCCGCACGTGTCGACTTCCCGGTACAAATACGAGCGCCGATCCGCCTCTCTCTCTCACTGGTCTTATTGCCGCATTTGTCATCTGCTTCGGCTGAAACGCAGTCATGGCTGATTGCCCTCACACCATTGGTGTTGAGTTTGGAACCCGCATCATCGAGGCACGTTGCTTCCGACTCTAAACACTCTTTGTTTTTACCGGCCCATTGTACTCACGTTGTCCACTCTGCAGGTTTGCGGCCAGAAGATCAAGCTGCAGATTTGGGATACGGCTGGCCAAGAGCGCTTCCGCGCCGTCACTCGCTCCTACTATCGTGGCGCGGCCGGCGCTCTCCTTGTCTACGACATCTGCCGCCGCTCCACATACAACCACCTGCAATCCTGGCTCAACGATGCCCGTAACCTCACCAACCCCAACACGGTCATCTTCCTCATTGGCAACAAATCGGACCTTGAGGCCCAGGTGAGATGCCGTCCCTGTTCACGAGACACCACCCGCTTTTGTTGCACCAACAATCTCCCATCAAGCTTGCTTGCCTCACACGAGCGTCCTCTCGCGTCACTCCTGCTGCCCTTCCCTTGCCTTGCAAAAGCGTGACGTGACCACAGAAGAGGCCAAGCAGTTTGCTGACGAGAACAATCTCATCTTCCTCGAGACCTCGGCCAAGACGTGCGTGAACCGGCTTGTCTAGCATGTTTTTTTTCAGGGGGCCTCTGCTCGACTCCTTCTGACCCAGCCGCTTGCGGCCTGTTCTAGGGGTGCCAACGTCGAGGATGCGTTTTTGGAAACTGCCAAGCAAATTTATCAAAACATTCAGGACGGTAGCTTGGACCTCAACGCCGCCGAGTCGGGTGTCCAGCAAAAGTCACAATCTGGCTCTGTTCCGCTCTCAGAGAAAGCGCCCGGCAAGTCCGGGTGCTGCTAAGCCATGCCCGCCATCCATCCTTGAAGCCAGCTTCTTCTTGGCAGGCGCAGGCGATTCATGCCCTTTGCCCATCGTGCCCCGACCCCTCACCAACATCGCTCTTGATTTTTCCTCCTTCTCCTCTTCCTTCCCCTTCTTCTTCTTCTCCTCCTTTTCTTCTTTTGCTCTTGTCAACGTCGTTGTCAACTTCTCAATTTTCTGTTCCCTTCCCTTTTCTTCCTCTCCCGTGTCTGCTTGACGGGCCTAAAATTAGCCTTCATGTGCCGCATGATTGGCGGTTGGCTTGCTGTGTCTAGTCTGTCGTTGATTGTTTCCACTTGCCCCGTCCCTTCCGACGCGTCATGCATCTGTGCACATGTTCGTTCCTGTTGTTGTTGTAGAGACTCGTTGTGCCGTTTTTGTTCACATTAACATCAGCATTCCTGCATGCTGGCTTTATCCACCAACCCTTGATTGACTATTTCTGGTGTGTGCTGCGGCTACTGTAGTCCCGTCTATATGGCTGGCGCCCGTGTTGCTTTTGCAGCGGGTTACCGGCAACAGAATTCAAGTCATGACTTGGATTAACGAGTATGAACAAAGTCGCCTTTCAAAGGCCGCCGCCGCTTGACTGAAAAAAAATAAAAAAAAAAATAAAAAACTCGCCGAGACGCCTTGGTAGGCAAGCCCGAACAGCTCTCCTTAAGGATGGAAAGCTTGCTATGATCATGTGTTACAAAAGGAGTAAAGGTAGGCAGAAAAGAGACCAGGCAGGCTACCGACTCACGGTAGCCGCGGCTTCGCAGAAGCTTAAAACAAGAGGACAAAAGTGGTCGGTACCACCTCGCAATCAGACAACCTCCGTTTTGAAAAGGGGAGGGCCGTCTTGAAGTGACACCTTGACCGGATTACACTAAACAATGAACGCCCAGAATTGAGTTGAAGCGGGTCGCAAAGAAACAGGCCAAGGCATGGGGGGCTGTGACGCGGACGAGCGGGGTGGCGGGCAGCAACACTGCTGGCACATACCAAGACACCGTAGTGGGGCTCACAGGTAAAGTAGCAATGTCCGTCGACTGTACCATTGTTTTTTCCAATGGGCTTGTCCAGCTCAATGCCACAGCGCTTGCCCAGGCGAGTTTTATGTGGTCTAAAATCCAACCAAAAGCAAACCGTCAGGATGACCCGCGCCATTAGCTCTAGGGGTTGTACATGGAAATGGGAGGGGGCAGGGGATGCAATGACTCACCCATAAAAGCGCAAGGTACCAGCACAAGGGTAGCCCTGAATTGTGACGCGGGCCCCCTCTCGGCCTTCGAATTGAGGAAAATCCGGTCCATCGGCGTGGAAGCGGGTGAGGTGGCGCGAATCCTCGTGCACCTCCATGGAAGCCTTGAGTTCATTGAGCTCTTTACGAATGAAAATCTTCTCGTCCGGGGATAGCTGGGTCCAGGTGGGGTCGGAGCGCCGGTCCTCAGCGGAGATGCCTGTAATTTCGACGACTTGGATGTGTTCAAGGTCAAACTGGGTCAGGATGCGACGCTTGGCGAGCTCAGTGATGGATGAGCGTTGGGAGAGGCGACGCTCGAGCTGAGATTTGAGGTCCTCCTGGCCAGCATCGGCAACATAGGCCTCGAGGCGGACCTTGCGCTGGCCCTTTTTGTCCCGAAAGCTCACGTGACGCTGATTGATGGTTGAGTTGCGCGGGGCAGTGGTCCTGTCGGTCTGGGCGGCGTCGCGGCGTTCGCGTGCGACTTCAGCGCGATACTGCTGCAACCGCGTCAGGGAACTTTGGCGTCGAATGCGGGTGCCCTGTTTGAGAATGCCTCGCGTGGGCTTGGTGGTAGGGGGCAAAGGTTCCCTGCGGACGGGCTGAGGGGGCACGGTAGCTTCGTCATCGCTAGCGGCCTCCTCGGTGTCGGTGGTGGCGGTGGACAGGGAGCGTTGGTGCTGAGGGCCGTGGGATGCGGCGCCGTTGGCATGGCGCTTCCAGGAGAACCAGCTCAGATGTTTGCTCTTTGCACCGGGAGTGCTCTGTCTCGCGGCGGGGCGCGGGGCGACGCTGGCAGTGGCAGTGACAGGGGTCGAGGCAGAAACAGAAACAGAAACAGAATCGCTTTGAGCATCGGATTGCTCATCGAGAATGACGACAGCAAATGGGTTGTCTTCAAAGGCCTCGCCTTCTTCAATCAAGGCAGGTTGGCCATCAACGTAGGCTCTCAGCGGCGTCGGAGCCCGCTGCTCTGCTTCCTGCATGGACGCGGACAAGCAGGGAGGGTCGGGATGAGAGAAGAGAGAAGAGAGTGACCAGGGGAACGGCCGGGAATGCCGAGCGGGGCCAACGCACATGTGCCGTGTCCTCGGTGGTGGGATCGTCCTGCTCTTCAAACTTGATCGAGGTAAACTGGTCGTTCGAGGAAGCCAGCGGCTTGATGGGTCTACACACAACCAGGCAGCGTCTGTGACATGGGCCCGACACGGCGGGGTGTAGAGTCAAGGGGGACGAGCCCACCAACGGTCGACCTTGTTCACGTACTTTACAAAGCAGCAGCCCATCCCGTCGGCGGAGCAAAATGCCGCTGGCCCGCAGTCACGAGAGAGAGAGAGAGAGCGAGCGAGAGAGCGCGCGCGGGCGTGACGGGGCGCGTCGGAGACGATGATGGCTTCCTGCCAACCTAGCCCCAACCCCGCTATGGCCTGCCGTCGACTGCAAGCTCCGTGCGTGTCACTCCTCCATCGAGCACTCACGACCGTGTCCTGTGTGTGTGTGTGTGTAAGCGTGTGTGTGAGTGTGTGCGTGCGCGTCGTCGTCGTCGTCGTCGTTGTCGTCGTCGAGAGAGAGAGAGAGGCGCCAGGCGTCTGACGCCCCTTTTCGGACCAGAGATGTTGAATGTCAGGGGACGGCAGGGTGTGTTTTTACCTTGGGTTAGCAACGATAACCAGAGAATGTGCAAAAGTCACAATTTATGTCCTATGGTATGTGTGATGCGCATTGGGTGGTTTCACGTGTGACACCTTTGCTTTAGTTTGCCTTGGTATTTTGCACGAGTGTGTGAGAGTGGCCAAAGTGTGTTTGTGTGCTGGTGTTGACAAGGACAAACTCTCTCTCTCTCTCTCTCTGTCTCTCTCTCTCTCTCTCTCTCTCTCTCTCTCTCTGTCTCTCTCTCTCTCTCTCTCTCTCTCTCTCTCTCTCTGTCTCTCTCTGTCTCTCTCTCTGTCTCTCTCTCTCTCTCTCTCTGTCTCTCTCTCTGTCTCTCTCTCTGTCTCTCTCTCTGTCTCTCTCTCTGTCTGTCTCTCTCTCTCTCTCTGTCTCTCTCTCTGTCTCTCTCTCTCTCTCTTGGTTCTCTTTTGTGTCTCTCTCTCTGCTTTCGGTGCGTCTCTTGTGCTGTTTTTTTCTCTTTGTTTCTCTCTCCTCTTGCTCACTGTTTCTCTGGTTCTCGTTTACCTTTGCTCTTCTCTCTCTGTCTCTTCTCTCTCTCTCTCTCCCTCCTCCAGCTTCACTTTTCTCTCTCTCTGCTTTCCTCTCTGTTTGCTTGTGTCTTGTTGCGTCGCGTGCTGCTTCATCCTGCTGCCGTGTTGGTCGGGTCTGGCTCGTTGGTGGCACCGTGAGGCAGGGCCGCTTGTTGGAAGTGGGTCTTTTCGAGTGGATCGCGTAGCACAGGTTTGAGGTGAGTGATGGCGCGCGATGGTCACTGGTGTAGATTTGACTGATGCCGTTGAATCCGACTTCTTGATGCGACAGTTTATCCGTGTGGGGGCTGAGCCAATATGTTTCTCGCAAGAGGCGAACCACGGTGAGGCGATCGTCAGTTACTGTTGAGAGAGCAGGGCACAACTGGGATCCCGCTGCTCCTTGGCTGCCTCTTGGCTGGCAGGCACATGGCAGTCCGCCCTCTGTCCAGTCCGACAATGGGTTGTCATATATTTGTATTTGGAGGGGGCTCATGAACTTGATGTTATGGGTTTAGAAACACCATGAGTAGTGATGGAAGGCAGCTGTACGATGCGTGTCGTTCATCAGATCCACAAGAGGCGCAAAGTTGGCTTTGGTACCGATCCGGATGCATTCGAGATGCTGTCCAATACAAAGATACGGTACGTATGCTGTTTGGTATGTTGTTGTGTGGTATTGGTTACACTTTGAATATGTCACTGGATGGGGTGACGTTATGCATGTTTGCATCATCCCACAGAATGGCGATACACCACTGCACTGGAGATGCTGTTAAAGCACGGTGCTGATGCTAAAGCCAAGGACAACGTCAGTACAGCCCATGATGATGATGATGATGATGATGATGCTGATGCTGATGATGATGCTGTACCTCTACGTCATGCTGGTGCATCATCCCACAGAATGACAAGACACCACTGCACTGGGCCTGCGAAAGGGGTGATGTCAAGGTGGTGGAGATGCTGTTGAAGCGCGGTGCTGATGCTAAAGCAAAGGACGAGGTCAGTACAGGACCTAACCCTCTTGCCCCTTTATCCCCATTGTAATAGTGCACCTGTACCATGATGATGCTGATGCTGATGCTGTACCTGTACGTCATGCTGATGCATCATCCCACAGCGTGGCAATACACCACTGCACGGGGCCTGCTTTAACGGTTGTGTCGAGGTGGTGAAGATGCTGTTGAAGCACGGTGCTGATACTGAAGCCAAGAACATCGTCAGTACAGTACCTCCTCTTCTCCCCTTTACCCCCCTATGATGGTGCACCTGTACCTCATGATGATCCTGCTGTACTTGCTGATCTGTACCTGTACGTGATGCTAATGCATCATCCCACAGAGTGGCTTTCTTCACGAAGTCAGTGCATTACCTCTCTCTTCCTCCGTTACCCCCCTATGATGGTTCCACCTGTACCATGATGATGCTGATGCTGACCTGCACATGTACGTCATGCTGATGCATCATCCCACAGGATGGTGGTACACCACTGCACAATGCCTGCTATAACGGTCATGTCAAGGTGGTGAAGATGCTGTTGAAGCACGGTGTTGATGCTGAAGCCAAGACCAACGTCAGTACAGCACCTCCCTCTTCCCCCGCTGCCTACTCTGATGACCGCTTCTTGCTTTCGCCTTGCGGTGGTGGTGGCAGTCACCCAGACCCGGCATGCTCCCTCGAGATACTCCATGTCGTCCATCTCGCTTGAATCCCTGGCCTTTCCACCCGCTTGTTCCATCCCTTCGCTCCTATTCCCCCGCATCAAGCATGTTCCTCCAAGGCTCGCGACCCGCTCTATGCCCCTCGCTCTCCCCCGTCTCTCCTGCTTCCGTTCTTGATCACCTGCACCCACCACGTTGTCTCTGCCCAAAGCCGCATTGACACATGAGACACCTCTGGCGTCCGTGGCCTTTCTCGTTTTTCTCTCTCGGTGCCTGAAGCTTCCAGCGTATCCTGCTGGTGCTCGTGTTCTGCTCGTGCTCGTGTACTCCTGCCCCCTTTGCCGCGCGTTTGCAAAGCCAAACTCGTGCCTGCTGCCACGTGCCGCTGTCTTTGATCTTGTCTCCCACCTTGCGATTTCCATCACACTACTTCTTTACTTCTCCTCACCGTCTTTCGATGGCAATTCTTCACTCGTTTCTGAAACCGCTTAACAGAATGGTGACACACCGCTCGCCTTGGCGTGCCAAGGGAGACATGGACACATGCTGGAGCCCGTCCTTGCAGCTCACACAGCTGCACGAAAGGCCCAAAACCGTTCAACCTCTACGCAAACCTCTCATCCAGCAAGCAAGAATTCCTCCTCGCAGGCACGTTGCTGCCTTGATCGATGACGCTGCTTCGGTCAATTTACTGGCCCGCACTCATTTGCTTGTCCTTCTAGACTGAAAGCCACGTTGCCCGGCCAGCATCTGCTCCATGCCCAAAACCACAAACAAGCTCAATTGCAGCCCGCTCCGAGCCGCCTCAGCCCCCCGCCTGGCTACCCCCGCTGCCCAGTGCTGCCCCGACCATGGCGGTGTGTCTACTATCCTGTTTATCCTTCTGTCTTCTCTTCCATCCATTTCAACTTTCATACTCGCACCACCTCACAAAGACCTTGCCCATGCAACTGGAACAGACGACGTTTTCGTTGGTTGTGGCAGTGGAGGCTTGGCTGGAGCCGCTGCTGCCCAAGCATACGACCACCCACCCATTTCCGCACCTCGACGCCTTTGTCGACGGTGCCATCCGACACAATGCCGGCGTGCGGGCCTCTGCCACATCGATCAAAGAGATTATTAATGCAGCGCCCGTGGATTTGCCTCATATGGACTGGACCGCTTTCCGAGACACAGCGACCAAGGCGCTCTCTGCGCTTGATCAAGTGTTCAAAGTGCCCGAAGCTCTATCTGCTCGCACGAGCCAGCTGGATTTGAAAACTACCACCCTCGCAACAGAGCTCAAAGCAATGCACGACCTGGTCTCTCAACCCAACTTGGCACCGGTGCTTCACGCACTTTGTGCAGCAGTGACGCAATTCCCCCGCCTGTCAGCCTCCAGTCCTCCTGCCCCGAAAAACCCTCCTGTCAATCTCCCAGCGGCCATTGACAAGCTGGTCCGCCTTCAAAACGTGGGCCCAGCGCGCTCACGTCTGTTGACCGCCAGCAACAAGCAGATTGAGGTCCTCATACAAGCGTTTGTCGATGCTCTGGAAGCCGTGGCGCAAGCGGGCATCAAGGACACGAGCAGTCGCGTGCAAAGGTTACAACAACAAGTCAAGCGCCAGCCAGTCGATCGGGCATCTACACCTCAAAGCTTGCCCAGCGACTGGAAGAAACTTTGCCACGCCCACACGAAGCTCAGTCAATTTGACCAGAATGGGCTTGACGCGGTCGCCCAGTGGCAAGCCCCGCCCGACTTGAAGCATCATGCCTGGTATCTAGCATTTGTACATCACGAGGCCGAATCTCTGGCGAAACAACTGCAAGACATGATTGACTGGCAAGCTCAGACGCTGTCCGTGTTGACCCAGTGCAAGGAGCTTGCAGATAGTCTGTCCCAGAGCGCTGACGACCCGACCGCTTCCGCACATGAGGAGCTAGCGCAGCTGAATGAGCGCATTCGTCAAACGATGACTGCTCTGGATATCTTACCAGACGACATGCGCTCAGGCCTTGAACAACAACTGCGGGAGATGAGGGCGAAGCAAGCCACCTTACAAGGTCAGCTGCAAGGACAGTCACACGTAGATCACATGGCCAGGCTAGCGCAGCTGCTGCACCAGCACTTTCCAGCTCTGCTGGTCTTTTTGCACCCTGAGCAGAGCACGCTGGGAGCGCGGCTTCGCACAGTGCTTGGTCCCGACCTTCCAGAGAGTCTAATCTTGGAGGCCTTAACTGAAGTGGACCGCACGTTGTCGCTGTCCAGCCTGGGCCAGCTCGAGCTTTATTACAACCAAAATCACAAGGTGTACAAGGCCCGCGCCACGCTACCAGATTATGAGGAACAAAATTTGGCCGTCAAAGAATATGCATTTGCTCTGCAACACAAACAAGACCAGTGCCGTACATTCCTCCGTGAGCTTCGCGCCATGCGTCGACTCGAGCACCCACACATCCTCCCGGTCCTCGGCGCGCTCGTGGACGTGCACAGTGGCCACCCGAGCGCCTACCTGGTACAGCCGTGGTGTGCACAAGGGGATTTGCAGCAGTGGCTGAGCAAAGCACGCCACCTGGCCACTTCGACCGTGATTGCAGGACTCATGACTCAGCTGCGCACGGCTCTGGCGTTTATGCACAGCAAGGGCCTGGTGCACCGAGATGTCAAGCTGAGCAATGTGATGCTGGACGGCAAGGAGGACCAGCCTGTAGTGCGGCTGGGCGACTTTGACATTGCCAAGGCCGCCGCCGAAGCCACCATGTTGCCATGCACGGCCACTGCATCGTCAGGCACAGCCGGCTACGTAGCACCCGAAGTCCTTTTCGGTGGGGGCCGCATGGGCGCACGTCCGGCACAGGATGCCTTTGCCTTTGGGTGTGTGCTCTACAACACCTACATGTACCCACATACGGTGCCACCTGCACGTGTACCAACGGATCAGCTTGCTGCAAAATGCAGGTGGAACACACAAGCAGGAGATGTTGCCTGCAGCTTTCCGCACCTAGCGGCTGAAGTCAGTGTAATGTCTTGGCTGGTTTCGTCAGGGTCGGCTTGTTGGAGTCTGATTCTTGTCAAACACTGTTCGTTCTCACGCTGAAACCTTTTGTTTGCAGATGTGCGATTCAACGAGCGAATTGCACAAGGAAACGCGGGCCTTGCTTGCAACAGATCCGAAGCAACGGCCAAGCCTATTCAGTGCCGGCCAGTTGGCAGCACGACCTGTCGCCGGCCCAATTGGACCGGCCATTGATGTTTTGCGCGACGCGCCCGAGCTGATTCCCGAGGTGCGTTGCTTGATGATGCCATGCCCGTCTCAGCAAACAATTTCATTTAAATCTATTGTGTAACTAGGTGGCTGAACTGCTGCAGCAGCTGAGCGCAGACGGGCGAGGGCCAGCACATCTGAGAGTGCAACGTGTCAAGCGCGTAGAAAATCCAGTGTTGTGGGAGCGTTACAGCGCAAAGCGACAGGAGATGTTGCACCGCATCACAAACCAGAAGCACTATGATGAGCTTCAAACGGCCAAGGTGGATGCCCTCTCGGGCCTTCCAGCCTTGCTGCGAGACAGACCCTGTCAAGAGCGCCTGTTGCTGCACGGCATCCGCCCCGATAGATCACTGCGCGACAAAATTGTGCGCCTGGGCCTAGACTATCGCTTTGCCGGTAGCGGCGCCGGCCATCGCTTTGGTCTTGGTGTCTATCAGACCGATCACCCCGGCAAGGTAGGGGTTTTGCACAGGTGTTTTCTTTCTCGGCTGCTATTGTGCGCAGCCATGTTTATTGTTCTGATGATCATTTTCTCGTTGTAGAGTCATCAGTATGCCAAGCCGCCTGATGCCAATAATGAGCGGATGCTGATTATCACGCGGGCATTGTTGGGCCATGCCTTTGTCCATAAATCACCCGACTCCAAGGCGTTGGCCCCGCCTCTCTTGCCCCATGCGCTCAACAATGAGCGGTGCGTCGCCTTGCTGTTGGTCAATCATGCATGTTAGCCGTGGCAGAGATCCCTTTTGTCTTGACAACGTGCTTGTCCTTTATAGATACGACTCAGTGATCGCGACGCCGGCTGGAGAATTTCACGAGGTGGTCATGTTCGACAACGATCAAGTCTACCCTGAACTGGTCGTCTACTACACGGCAGCTTAGATTTACTCAACCATTGACGTTCAATCTCATTTTCTTCGCCCACGAGTGTGGTGCTGTCCATGGGGAAGATATATCATCGATCGCTTTCTGAGAAATGCCTTGGAGAGTTTGGCTTGGGCAATACCAAGGCATTGCGCGAGGCCCAGATCATTGCTCGCCAAACAATCACTTTGCTTGGTCAGGAGACTGGACTCATCTTCTTCTTCCAGGTTGCGGTAACTATCAAATTGAGACGATGGGGCATCAAGTAATCCTCGCCAAGCCTAATATGTTTGGTTGGAAGGGAATGGGCTTCAATTTGATAATATACCCGGACATCGCGGCAATGGCCTCGAGGGAAAGGGGAGAAGAAGAAGAACCGAATGAATGGGAAATCTGCCTGAAGAGACGCCAGCTATTGACTCCGCACAACCAAGGAAAGGGACGTGCAGTAGTTCAAGAATGAACGATAACAATAAGAGCAAAAAACAGAAAGGAAAGCAAATCAAGTAGAAAGGCAAGAAGCGCAGCAACGAGGCACTCTCTATGTGGACACAGCACTGCACATGGACAAGATGGCCTCGTGGACACACACACACACACACACACACACACACACACACTGGACGACATCAATCATCGGGCACACGGCGAGCTGCACGGAATCGCAGGGTCTGACGCACGATTCATCAAAACATGAGCGCCGGGAAAACGACACGGGCTCGCACTTTAGACGAGCGAGCTCGTAGTGTGCGGATCTGCTCGGTCCATGGCGGGATGGCGCACAAAGGCCGAGGCTGGCGAGGAAAACGACAGGCTTTGAGCTCCGTCATCATGCGGCATCGACCGACGACGCTGCACCAGCAGCGCCACAACCACCAGCACACTCAAGGCCAAGCCTAAGGCCACCAGAGCAGTATGATACGCCGTGAGATATTGGGCCCGGATAAGTTTGATCACACTACTCCCCGCTCGATGCGCCTGTCATCGAGGACTGCTCCCTCCTCGCCCATCATATCTCAAACGTAGAAACGGACAGACCACAACTACATACCACCGGAGAGGGCTGCTACGGTGATGGTGGCCTCGCGGTCCCAGCCCGAGGCGGCTGGGGCTCCTTCCTGATCAGTCACGAGGGCGGCGGCGGCGGCTTGCTGTTCGTCATCATCGTTGTTCTCAAGCACGCACGCTCCGGGTGTCCAGACAATTTGCAAGCAGCGTGCATGGCATGGCGAGGGCAAGGTGATCTGATTCTCCACCCAGCAGACAGGGTCCAGCTCGTCGTTAATGCAATCACAGCTACCGGTGGCATCGTCATCCTCCAGGCCCGCATCGCCGCTGCCCGAGCCTTCGAGTTCGCCATCTCCTGATCCAGAACCCGAGTCCACATCGTCCTCCTCGGGCACGCAGAGCAAGTAGAGACTTCCTGCAAGTTGGATACGCTGCGACTTCAGCCCCACGGGGCACGCCAAGGTGCAGCCGCCGTCCAGCAAATGCAGAGGGTACATGCAAGCCTGGCAATAGCCGGTCTCGGTACAAGTTTGGCAGCCAGAATCGCACAACGCCTGTGCATGTGCCAACCAGCGACAGATCATTGCAATCAGAGGTTAAGATTTGCCAAAGATTAGCCCCCAAAACAGGCAGAGCTTTGAAACAAAGGAAGGCACGCCGCTACCGTACCGCCATGCCACTGCCACTGCCCATGTTGTCGTCGGCTGGGGCTGCCAAGACAGCTGAATGATCACAGCAGATGGCGTGAGCGAGATGCGCATGCCTCGGGCGGCAAACCGTCATCACGTCATGAGTCAGCAATCGGTCATGGCGACGGGCGGTGCTTACTGGCGGTGGCGAGAAGGACGCTCATCAATGCCAAAAAGCTAAATTGAGCCATGGTTGTTGTTCTTGAAGGAAGCAAGGTTGGTACGCTTGCGCTAATACCGGTTGGCAGCCGGTTCGCAAGTCCACGCTGGCAAAGAACCCACCAACAGCGACAAGGGGGACTGGCTGGGTGTAGATTCAGGCAGGGCCAACTGGGCACCACACGCTGCGCTCTTGGCAAACGTTGGTCCACAACGGCAACGGGAGGGGCACACCCGATGGGACGGAGCGGGGCGGCAAGCGATGAAAGGACGGATGGAAGAAAATAGCACTCGTGGTTTCGCGCCGGCGCCAGCAGGAGGCGCACGGCGAAAAGTTTCCACCCCAGCCTGGAGCTAGCCCGACCACAGTGGCCCGCCTCAGCGCAACATGGTATTGGTTGGGTGTGGAACACGGGCGTGATTGATGATGGGTGGGACGCAGCCTTGATCAACAGAGCCCATGGGCACGGCCATGCCGAGTCACGGGACCATGGTAATAAAGGCACTGACAGTGATGCTCGTGTTGAGGGCTGAGGCTGGTGACATGTCGCACCGGGTTGCACCATGAAGCATGGCACGCAACGCAGGACACAGGCGCAGTCCAGGGCCTGAGAAGTAGACAGGCGGTCACGGGCGGTGGGGGTTGAGGCGGAGGTTGACGTAAAACACGCGAGCGAGTGTCATGGGAAGAAGACTACTGGTGCTGATGATGTGGCCGGTTGCTGGCCCACCCCGAGTTTGCACATGGCCTCTGTCTTGCCCGTCTTTCAAGAACGTGTGATGCGGATGACCCACACCCCGTCTCTCAAGTCACGTACCATTTCGTACCATCTCGGGTTACAACCCCCATCCTCAACCTCAGTGTCTGAACCAAAGATCCTGTCCTGCATTGTCAAGGCGCGCTCACATCTGTCGGCCATACACTCTTGAACGTCCAGAGAATCTTTGCAGCCCCTCAAACGCACACACGTACGTACACACGCATGCGCACACGGACTGCACAACAACCCAGGGTGAGCGCAGGGTGAGTGCAGGGAGGGGCAATCGAGGGTCCCTGCAAGAAAAACAGGACATTCGATCTTGTGCATCATGCCTCACTACTTTTGCATACATGCATGCATGCCCCGAAATTTGCCGCGCAACTTGAGGTGGCGCCTCGATAGCTCAGCATCAGCCATTATCGTTCGAGGGGATGCAAGTAGTAAGGTGGGTGGGAGTGACAAGACGAGCGAGTCTCTCGGTCTCCATGCGGGCCTCGTGGGGCTTAGTGGGAACTGGTGGAGTGCGGGGGAGATTGCCGAGTCCCGAGGCGACTTTGCACGGTCTCCCGGTCTCCCCTGCCCCAACTGCACGCATGCAACCGCAGACTTGCCACGAAGCGCCGTGAGTGGCCAATTCTCTGGAATGCAGGCATGTGCCTCCTTTGCACCGGTTGTGCCAAGCACGAAGGCAACGCCAGGCGAAAGTAGACTGACGGGCAGCAGACAGCCACGTCGCTGGCCAACCGTCGTTTCAAAGTGAGAACCCGCCCCGAGGCCCTGGCCGTCACTGGGCGTTGCCATTGTCGGCTATCGGCAGACGTCGTTCTGTTGCCCTTCTCCTCTATGAGCACGGCCAATGATGGTTTGATAGGCAGTGTCTGGTTCTAGCCTCGCTACCCATCCTCGTAATGGCTATTTTTCAGCTCTGTGGCGTCAGCAAAGTACATTGATATATCACATGCTTAGACGACATCCATGGGCTGAAGCCCGAGCGACTTGTGTGTGGGAGAGATAAATTAGAAAGAGCAACAAGAGACCAGACGTCGCCGGGCCATGGCTTGAGGCGAAACCAAACGACGGTCAAAGCAAGACTCAGCCCGGCGCCGTTTCATGGACAGGTTAGGCACTGCACTAAAACAAGAAAAAACAAAACGCACGCGTTGGGTCACACCCGGCCATAGAGTATTCACAAAAAACAAAAGTGACTACTGGACACACACAAAAAAAAAAAAAGCTGTTCTGCAGGCTTAAGCGGCTGTGCGGCGCCAGCTCAGCGCGAGGTTGCCTGTGGAAACTAGGTCGAGGTTGGCACCACGATCCGCCAACGTGCGACAGGAATAGGTCGAAGCTGAAGCCGTCGGCGTCCACATAAAGACTGCCGCGCAGGCATCGTCATCCAAACATTCCAGCAAACAAGCGCTGACAGACAACACCACACGCTCGCGCAACACGGTACCCGAGGCCCAGGTGCCAAAGCCAGAGCGAAAGCGAAAGCCATTGGCCAAAGCAGCAGGGGCAGTGCCCGGGGACCATGTCTGCACCCCCACAGCGCTTAGCTCAAAGCGACTTGTCAAATCCCCAAAGACGGTAGCAAAAGCCGGCAAGTCGTGCGTGATTCGCAAAAGGCTAACCGAGCTTGAAGACGTGCCAACGACCTCCTGCGCACTCGCAGTCAAGAGATGGCAGCGATACAGGGGATTGGCCGGGGAGACCTGCCACAAAAACACGGCTGCACACGTGGCTGAGAGGCGGCAGGCGGCCAAGCAATCGGCTCGGGCGGCGACCTCCAACTTGGCTTCAATGGCGTCATCGTTGAACCCTGAGCGCAAGCGTGCCCGCGAATGCACAGAGGTGTCAGGGGATGAGCTGGTCTGCGTGCCACAGGCCACGAGTTGATAACCCTCGGTATTCTCCGCAACGGCACACGCCAGTGCATCCAGGGGTGGGCTATCCACCTGGCGGACGAAGCTCAGTGATGGATTCCCAGTCGCAACCAGGTCTGCGCCGTCCAGGCCCTCGTGGGCCAAGAGATGGCAGCGCACGTGGGCCGTCACGTCTGTCTGCCAGATGAACGCGCCGCCGCAAGCATTGCTGGCGTTGCACAGGGACAAACACTCGCGGACATCTACCACGCTCGGCTTGTCCAGAATGTGGGAAGCCACAAAGCCACTCCGCACGCGCTGCGGCGCAACGTCGGATTGCTGTGGCCCACAGGCAACCAGCTCAAACCCATCTTGAGCGTGACAGGGCAGGGGCATCTGCACGGCAGTCGTGGACGGCCTGCTTGTTGATGCCTCGACGGTCGTTGATGGCGCCATGAGCCAACTCAAGGGCAGGTAGCTGGCAGAGATGGAACTTGTTCCAATGAGTTTGGGCAGCTGGGTATTCGCATCCAAATCCGCGTCCAAGCGGGCTGCATCGAGCAGCTGACAGCGCAGCAGCGGGGCTTGAGACGAGGCCCGCCAAGCAAAAACGCCGCCGCAGGCGGTTGTCGCGTTGCAAGCGGCGAGGCACAAGCGCAAGCTGGGCAGCTCTGGCTCGGCCAACACGGCCTTGGCCTGAAACGCCACTCGTAAACGGCGTGGCGCGGTACCCGAGCTATCTTGCTGGCCACAGGCAACGTTGGCGTAGCCCCAGGCCTGAGGCTGACAGGTCAAGTCGTGGTCAGTCTCCGTGATGGTAGTGGTGGTGGTCGTCGTCGTGGTCGTCGTCGTCGTCACAGTGGTCGAGGCTGTGGTGGCCGTTGTTCGGCGCTGGGGTAAAGTGGTCGAGGGATCGGGGCCTGCGGTAGCTGCCGTGGTCGACGACGAGTCCTCAGGGCTCGTGTGGACATCGTCGGGCTCTTCCGTTGCCGGCTCTTCTGTAGCCTCCCAGTCTGACGAGGCCTGACAGGCGACGTTAAAGTTTACCAGGCGCACGGCCATGGCGTCTGCCTCGGAAATAAGATGAGGGTGGAAGGCCAGGCTGGGAATGCTTACAATCACCGAACCTACGATAACATTGATAGTCCGCATACAAGGCCGGCGCGGCGTGAGATGCGTGTCGACCTAGGGCGCAAGCGACTTTCACGACCTGCCCATGCCCGCCTATTTCCTTTTCTTTTTTAGGACATTTTATTTTTCAATAGATGTCAACGTACGGGTGTAGCCGTCGGGCGAGAAGACCCAGGCATTGCCATGATAGAAAAGATGCATGTTGCCGTCTCGACGGACCCATGACGAGCGCTGAGCGGTCGTGCCGGCTCGCACATAAGCTCCGGCAATGCTCGTACCCTCGTGGATGGCTTGCACCATGAGCTCGTCACATTCTAACAAGATGAACCAACGACGAGCAGCAAGGGCAGATAACAACATCAAAATGAGACACCAACGTATAGCAGCCCGGGGGGGCTTGTGTCCAGCACCTTAGAGCCGAGCGCACCTGCAGGCAGTTGGTCGACGATGCCGGTGGGATCGAAAAGAGTAAAATTGTAGGCCAAGCTGAACAAGCTCGAACGCATAAGAATATTGGCAATGTGCACGGTGATGGTCACGTCGTCGTCGCCTGCCGCCAGCTTGGGCAGGCGTTTGACGCGGAAGGTGGTGGCTGAATCGCCGTAAAAGTCGTCATGTCGCCAATCAACCACCTTGAGTGGGGCGCCGTTCAGGGTGACGGTGATTTCCGCAAAGACAAAGGTCGCATCGGTGATGGAGACGGAAAAGCGCCCAGAGCTGGGAAGAAAGGTAAAGGGCACATAACCCTCTGGCGGCCAGGTCACCACGCTGGGCGCAACCGTTGTAGCAAAGTCGTCAAGGACCCACAGGCTGTTGGCTGCCGCCACGAGGGGTTGGCTGGCGGGTGGGGCAATGTCTCCGAGCCCCACCTCGACCAAGTTGGGATAAAGAAGCCAGCGGCGGTGACCAACGCGCTCGTGGCCCTCTCCAAAATTGTCCTATGCCAGCAGAACAAGCACAAACGTGTCGAGTCAGGGCACGTGGCCTGTCTGGGTGAACCCTCAAGGCGCAGCCACGTTGATGATGAGGCAACAATCAGGGAGGAGCTGGCACGTACCATGTAGGCGTCGACTGCGCGCGTGCCGTACACGTTGAGCGCCAGATTGCTGTAGCGAGCAGCCAGGGCCGCGCGATTGGAATAGCAAGGGGCATCTGAATCCAATTCGTGGACAGCTTTGCGGGTAGCTGACACGACGAGCGCAGCCGCTTGGCAGTCACGAGATTTGTCCAGGTTGAGGGTCACGGAAGCAAGCCCGGCCCAAGTTCGGTACAGGTTAATGTGCGAGAGGACCAGGCGCTGGTGGTGGCTGGAGAGGCCGCCCGGCGCACAAGTGGCGACGTTACCGTTCAGCCAGGACTCGCCGATTTGGCGGTCGTCGTCCAGGAGCAGGCTGTCAAACCCCAACCAGCGCTGATACAAGCCGAGGGCTGCGGCACGGTTGTGGCGGTCAAACGCCGAGATGGCGCGGCGGTTCCGAGATGTAGCCGACCCGTCCGTTTGCCCGGGGTTGGTGGCACTGCCGAGCTCGGCCCAAGTTGGGGCACTGCCCAGTTGTTTTCGGGTTGCACCGACATTGGTTCCGGTCAAGGCAATAAGAACGAGAAGAAGATTCACAAACGCAAGATGGCAACGATTGGCGAGCAATGCCCCACGTCGTCGATATGCGAGCGGCGGGGCCATGGCGATTGTGTCGACCCTCGTGCTTTGACCGTTCCGACCTCGATGGGTTTAATGAAGAAGATGCAAGGGAAGCAAAACGTTAAGCCAGTGAATAGGTTGGCGTCGGCACTGAGGCGTAGGGAAAGAGAAAATACGCCCAAATTGTGTGTGCCGTCAATGGTGGCGCGGTGGCAGAAACGTCAAGGCACACCCCATCAGCACGACGCGTCAGAATGCGTGTCCGTTGGGCTTAGCAACTTCTGCAAGTACCCCAAACGGGGATCCCAATGACCATGACCAACAGCAAGGCTCGTGAGCATGCAGGGCGGACAAGACACACACAACTCGCACCGTCATCAAACACACGCAAACGCAAGCCCCGGACGCCAGCACTGCCCAAGGGCGTCCGCTTGCCCTCCCAGTTCCCAGGCAACCAACGCCCCAAAGGGCAGCTCCGTCAGGACCAATGCCCGGTCACACACACGGCATTTTCACTCACCTGGATTTGGGGAGAAAAAGAAAAAAATCATTTCGCCCTGCGACACACACACACACACACACACACACACACACACACACACACACACACACACACACACAAAAATTTTGCAACCCGGTATGCATTCATGCAAGCAATAGGTCTCGAAAGATCAATTCTTAACAGTCCCCTTTAATGTATACTCTCCCATAAAACATCTGACATTTCATATGTTGCAGAGAACACACACACACACACACACACACACACACACTTGAGCGCGCTGCTCGGACGGAGCTCGCTGACGGCAACGGCAACGGGCAACGGCAACGGGTAACGGCAGGAGCTGAAGAGGCTGCTGGGAGAGCCTGTTGTTGAGGTCACAAGACAGGGTGTACAGTGTGGAACGTACAACGCAAGCATGGCTGATGTCGAGGCCCTGCGGAGGGGCAAGAAGCTGTTTATTCAGAAATGCGCCATGTGCCATGCCACACATCCCGTATGTTGTTGTTGTTGATCCTGCCTCGTCTGCGAGCCAATGCCAGTGCCGGTGCCTTGTGTGATTGACCATGGGCGCGTGGTGCCGACTACAAATGATAGCAAGCGCCGCACAAGTCGGGCCCCAATCTGGCGGGGTTGTTTGGCCGTCAAACTGGTCAAGCGCCCAATTATCCCTACACCGATGCCAATCGCTCAAAAGGTGGGTCCTCGTGCCCTCGTGCCTCGCCACTAAACCCTCAAGTTTAGTGCCCGGTGGTGGTGCCCGCAACATACCGACTGCCGCCTGGCAAAATCTCACTGCTGACCGGCCTGTTTGGGCACAAAACATTGATGCTTAGGCATCACCTGGACCCGGGCCACGCTGGACACGTACTTGATTGATCCTCGCAAGTACATTCCCGGCACGAAGATGAATTACCCTGGCCTCAAGGATGCAGGCCAGCGCCAAGGTGGGTCTGCCGCTGCCCTCCCCGAAAACTTTGAACGCTTACCAAGGCCCTCTTGGGAAAGCTTCAAGGCTTCGAGAGCCCTCCCTCGACTTCATTTCGCCTGCTTGATGTCATCCAATCCCTCACGATGACCTCTTTTGGGGAATAGACTTGATTGCCTTTTTGGAAAAAGCCACAGCCTGTGCCGACGGTCACCGCGAAGCTTTTGGCCTTTAAAGCAAACGTCCAGTTTGCCCGCCACCTCTTTGCGTTGCGCCTTTGCGCATTCTGCTGAGCCATGCGTGCTTGCCTCGGCTTTCTGCAAACAAACACACACACACACACACATACATACACACCAGACTTTTGACCCTCTCGACCTCCAGCTGCCTTTGTCGCTTTTGCCCTGAGTCCCCTCCAAGGGGATCTCTCCTCCTTTGAAATGAACTTTATACATGAACTGGCCTCCTCTGACTATTGATATCGCTCGTCCATCGGACGTCGAGCACAGTTGTCGGGACCTTGAGAATCTCAAACGCAAGTTTTCATGCCTGCAGTTGCAGCACTACTCGATTCAGATCACCCAACCAGCAAATGGACAAGCCACAAAAGAAAGAAGAAGAATACATCGCCCCCCTAGCCCCTGAAGCGAACAATCACAAAACGCAAAACAAAAAGATCAAAAGGCAAGGGACATCGATCAACGAGGCCGAGGGGCATGGAAACACCGTGTCAAGTCAAGCTGCAGCCACGGCAGCCGAGAACACAACCGACGCACATCGCGACGCTCAGCGACAGATACATTGGCTCCTTACACGCGATCGTGCATCTTGACATCACTGGAATCCTCAGACTCGCCCAGCACCAACGCATCCACATCCACGGGCTTGTAACCCGCAGAGTTGACGGGCAACGCCACCTGCACGCCCTCATCCGGCTCCACCTTGGAGAGCAATTGGAACTGCTCCTCATTACGCACACTAACCCCCACACCAATCATGCCACGTGAGTTGAAGGCGTCATATCCACACGACAGAGAACATGCAGAAAGCAGGAGCAGGTGGACGGGCCGACAACTGTTTTCCGGCTGGGGCTTGCACAACATACCCAAAAGTCGATTGGACAAAGGGTGGGGGGTGGGACGTCAATCGAAGAGTGTGCTCGGGAGTCACAACGGCCGTGAATCGAAACTGTGCGACCTGCGTGCCAGGCTTGCTGGTACGCACCGAGTACGGCACCAGCAAGTTGTGTTCAACACATTCCTGTGGCAGCGCATAAACCAGACTTGCCATCAGATACGAGATTCTGGGCAATCACAATGCGCCAAAACTACAAACCAAAGAAAACCAAAAATAGGAAGAGCTTACCTTGATACCCAGAGGCGCACCCTCCGTCTCGAGGCGGTTGGCGGCAAACCACATGGTGGGGAAGCGACGGGCAATCTCGGCATAGGTGTGGCGTGCAATGCGTGACTTGAGTTGATATTCCACGGCCAAGTTGCGGATAAGCACTGCACACGACCCAAGGGAGAAGACCACCATGCACGGGCGTGAGTGGAAAGAGCATGGAGAAAGCAGGCAGGCAGGCAGGCAGGTGTTCACCGCAAGATCGGAAAAAAATAAAAATTGGGAAAACGCAACGGTCTTGAGACCAGATCCTGGCAGCCAGTGAACAAGGGGATGGGTGCACGCACCTGTGGGCTTGATATCACCGCTACGGAGCTTGGGGGAATGGTTGCTGACCATAATGTCGATGGTGAACACGTCATCTGCCTCAATCTCAAAGCCATCAGGGGCATCCTCGACCTGAAGACGATTCAAGAAGACCTTGTTGCCTTCGTGCACAAAGCGCTGAATGGAGCAGCTGAATGTCTCCTCCGTGGCATGGCAGCCAAAATCACGGCAAAGCTCGTGAACAGCCTGCGTCAGTTGCTGGCTCTGTGCAGGGGTGGAGAATGCACGTGAGCGGCCTGTCGGAAAAATGTGGGGCGCTTGGCCATATTCACAGGGACAGAATCAAAACGAGCCAAGAAATTCAGCAACAAAAAGCAAGCAACAGACCTTGACGCCAGGGCGGAGCATACGATGAACAAGCTGCGAGGCAGCATAGGCGGCGCACACCACGTCGGCGCGGCGGCCCCGCATGGGCTGATCACCCAAGCCTGCAAACGGGCACGGCAAGAGGCGGGTGGAAAATCGTCATTCAACAATAGCTATGCTTGTTTAAGCCCAGCGTCACGACGCCTGGAAGACGTGTACGCACCACAAATGTGGGTGTGACCAATCTGGGCAATGTAACCATCCACATGCACACCAAAGTTGCTGCAAGGAAGCGCCCAAATTTACACCCGAACACAAGCACGAGACAACAAGTGAGCTTGGCGCACTTTTGCGCATTCGGGTGCGGGAGGTGGATGGCAAGACGTGGGTGTGGACTTTTGAAGGCTGTGACGCACATCTTGACCACATCACCGGCCGCAAGGAGCACGCCAGGGGCATGCTGGACGTGAAAGCCGGCAATTTCATTGACAGCCATGCAAGTGGGAAGGGCAATGCCCTTTTCCATTGTCTCGCCGTCCTCGCCCTCAGAGGCTGGGAGCTGGAGACAGGCGGAAAAACAGAGATAGAGGTGAGGCAGGGACGGCGACGAGGAGGAACCAAGCAAGACAACAACGCAAAACTCTTGCCATACCTCGGCAATCAGGCGCTCCAGATTCTCGTCGGTTGCCTTGGACAGCTCACTGATATCAGCACCAGGGACGCACATGGGCAGCAACTGTTGCAAAGTCTCATTGCAGATACGTGCCGCAGCCCGGTACTTGCTCAAGACGTCCTGTGCAGAGCAGACCACATTGAGCGCGAGCTGATGCCACAAACCCCAGCCAGCGGTTGGCTGGGGGGGAAGACCAGGCGCAGAGCCGCGACCAGGGACTTGGGAGATGCCGCAACAAAGAACCAACCTCATTGAGCGTCTCGCGCTCGACACCATACACGGCGCGCGGCGCCTCATTATCAGCCGCAACCACTTCCATGACTCTGGTTTGCTGGATGTGCCTCAAAAAAAAAATACTAGAGTACGAGCGTCTCAATAGAGATACCAACGCCCACGCGAACGCAAGTGTCACGGATGTCTGGCCTCGTACGTCCACCAGCAGCCTCTATCCAACCCGCGCCAACAACACAAGGCAACTGCCAAAATCACCAGCCAGCCGGCCACGATGCCTCCACAGACCAGGGAAATGCTCTCTCACACACACGCGCGCGCCGACACAGAGAGAGAGAGAGTGTGTGTGTGTGTGTGTGTGTGTGTGTGTGTGTGTGTGTGGTGTCAGAAAGAGAGAGAGAGCGACACGTGGGGGAGTTGCTGCATTTGTCTGACAAAAATATCCTTCATATCCTGTTTTTTGGTTCTCTCTCTCTTTCGCTCGTTTCGCTCTCTCTCAGCACACACGCTCCTTCTCTCCTCTCTCTCTCTGCTCTCTCTCGTGTCAGTCTCTATCGCTTCTCAGGCTCTGGCTCATTCAACGCCCTCACTCGATCATAATAACATTGGAAATCGAATAAGATTGCAAGCATCGGGTCGGGTGTCAAGAGTCGAGTCGAGAGAATCATAAGAATAGGGAGGCCAAGCATTCGGGCTGACCGGTCAAGGGCTATGGGGTCGCTTGCTGGGGCGCGCAGCGCCGAGCCCCACAGCCATGCCGGGCGGTAAAGGCACGTCAGGTTGGGGAGACAATGTTGGGCTCGAGGACAAGCCACTTTCTGGAGGGGCCGTGGCAGCAGCTGGCTGTGGTTTCCGGAAGACTTGCCAGGCCCGCGCGTGTCCTGATGAACACCACCAGACATCAACCCACCACAAAAGTGCAAGAGTGCATGTGACAAATGCGCGGTGCCTCGCGAAATGAATCAATCAGGCTCCCACGCGACATACCTCGTCCCTGAATCACCACGTGCTCATCCACCAGCTCTAAACCATGGCACTCGTTCAGCCATCTACTCGACGAGAGCCCAATAAACCAGCACACCACCGCGGCATGAGCTGTGCCGTTGTTGGACAGCATCGCCGACTCAATAAGCCCTACCCAGCAAAGGCGGCCGGCTGCAGCGTGATCCGGCCCATAAAGTAATTGTACAGAGCCGTGCGGTTCCGATCCCGCGTGTACGATGGCCACCCCTATCCACAGCAGTCCAGCCATGCAACGCGTACAAACAAAAGTCAGCTCGGCTCGCCCCAGTCCCAAGCACCCTCGGTCGTGCGGCAGGTGAGGAGGGCTTGACCCACCTGATACTGTACCACCAATATCCCGCCAGGCAGCAACAGCTCCACCTGTACCGCAAACAGCAGCCGCAGCCCCTCGTCGCCATGCGTCAAGTGTACAAACTTGGGCACGTCCAGACTACACGCATGCCCCGCAGCACCATCCGCATGAGTTGATCGCCGGCGCCTCATGCCCAGGATCTCGACATGCGCACATACCACAGGATTGTATGAAAGCGAGGCGCTGCCGTGGCCGCCGCTTCGAGAATATCGCCCGCCTCAAAGACAACATTCCGGGGAAAGCTTTGGTCATTCTGGACCACCGCTGCCTGCAGCTGCTGCTTCTCCGCGGCTTCTGTCACTGCCATGCCACCGCCACGGTAATGTGAGCGTGCGACTGCGCCCCCAACCGAGCAACTTGTTATTCTCGCCCCACGAATCGACCAAAGTAAAAAAAAAAAAAAAACTTACGTTGACGCGCCTGCTCTGCAAGCTCATGTCGAGATGGGCCCGCAGGTCCCCCACGAGACCCGCTGGGCGGGCTGTGGGCCGGTGTGTTGCTAGCAGTGGCCGCTCGCTTGGGCGATGGCGGCCCAAAGAAGCGACGGCTGGTCCCACCCAGCGATTCAATCTCTGTGGATGTGAACACACGCGCGCGTTTACAAAGGTTTAGGATGACCCTGATCCAAGAGGGCCTCGTACAAGAGTAAGCGTCCGCAACAAGAGGTGGAAAATGAACCCCATGTGTACACGGACCGTCATAAAAACGTTTAAGTCGATCGAGCTCCTGCTTTGTCTGCAGCAGCGTGGCGCAGTCGCGCTCTTGGAATCCCGCAGCAACATGGTCGCTGCGGCGGGGTGTAGGCTCGAGGGCGCCCCGTTGTAGGGCCAAACTTTTGGGAAAGTAGCCATAGAAGCGTGAGGCCTCGACCTATTGACGCACAACGCACATAGCCACACATTTGTGAACCCGAGCTGAGGCAGGGTTGGGGTATTGCAGCACAAGGCATTGAGCACGCTCGAAATCAAACCTCAAGGTTGTGGCGAGCCTGTGAAATAAGTACGGGATCAATGTCCAGACCTCGCACCGAGGCGGGTCGCATGTATTGTGCCAGCTGTATGGCAAGCTGGCCGGTATTGCACCCGACATCAAGCACCCGCTTGCCCTGAATCCAATCTACGATTCGCATGTCAGCGGCTGTGAGCAAAATCCCAAGCACGGTCGGAAAGAACAGGCCCGATAAGCGCACCCAGATCCAACAGAGCCAGACGCAGGTCCAAGCCATGACGCCGCGCAAGTTCCAGGCGGTGCTCCAGGGCCTGTGTGCGCTCGGGTAGCGGGCGCCGGTTGGCGGGGCAGTTGCCTCCAGAAAAAAAGCGCTCGTTGAGGTGCACGCGACGGCGCGTTTGATCGCGTGGAAAATTTCCATAGAGATATATGGTCTGCGGAGTGTGGCCGGGACGATATTGCCGCAGAGTATGGGGCCGTGCAGCTCGCGCAGCTGCTTCGCGCACAGCGGCTGGGTTGATATCTGCCGGGGAAGATGCCTCCGTCGAAGCCCCTACTGACGAGGGGTTCTTTGCAGTGGCAGCACCACGGTGAGGAGCGCTCCCTTTTTGCGGGCTGCTTGAGGCACGCGGTGTACCGCTACTGGTACCAGCCACACTGTTAGCAACCCGGCGTGTTGGCACAGGCAGTGTGTCGAATTGGGGCCTCTGCTCTGTGGTCGCCGATTCAACGGCACTTGAGGCAGAGGGAGATGCCGGAGGTGTGACATAGCCTGGAGCACGATGCCGACCTCGACCTCGACGTCGATGCCGACGATGGCGGCGCTTGCCTGAGCGAGCTGCGGGTCCTTGAGCCGCGCCTTCCGACACTGGCGCTCGCCCCGGTCCTGCAGTACGCTCCGCATCACCGCCATCACTATCATGAGCATCAAAGTCCAGCTCCTCCTGACCATCGATGGCCGACACCAAACGACTGGCCGATGCTGCAAATCTTTCTGCATCGTCTCGCCTCGACGGTGGCAGGCTCAAGATGCCGGTCGGGCTGGAAGGTTGTTGTCCAGGAGTAAATGCAGCGGGGCTGGCGGTTGGGTTGAGCTCGAGCTTGCTTCGCTTGGGCCCACCCCTCGGCCCATCCTGCTCGTGACCCTGTGCTGCTGCTACCACAGACAAAGCGTGTGATAGAGTAGCGTCATTGACCGAGGGCTGCTCACTCGCTGGAGTCCTGTGAGGCGCGCCCGCCATCCAAGGCGGTCGCAGGCCCTGCGAGAAGGGCACGCGGACAACAAGCTGAAACCCTATCTACACGGCAGGGGGTGGCGCTCAGCGCCAAAGCAACACTATGCCACCATGCTGCCCATGCTCGCCGAGGTCCTCTTGCCGGGACCTGGTCCGCCCCGACGAGGACCGGGCGGCCAGGCAAGGCGCTGCAGTGGCGACGTCCTCCTCTTTCGAGCACACCCGGCCCTCGACCATCCAATCCTCAAGATACCTCCCAAGGCAACAGCCACCTTGTACACTGCCACCACTGCTCCAGCTGCTCTTCCAACTCCTCTGCCGGCTGCTTCTCCGACTGCTCTTCCAGCGACTTCAGCTGCTCGAATCGGTGTGAGGGTTGTAAATTTTTAAGAAAAAAAAAATGATTTTTGTTGTTTTTTTCTGTTTTTTGCGTTTTTTTTTTTCTCTGTGTGTGTGTGTGTGTGTGTGTGTGTGTGTGTGTGTGTGTGTGTGTGTGTGTGTGCACGTCGCGTCACTGTGTGTGTTGTTGTTCCCCACTGTCTCTCTCCTTCCGTCCCACTGACTTTCCCGTGTCTCTGTGCCTCCCTGGGTCATTCTGCTTTCTCTCAACGCTTCTTCTTGTTCTTGTTCGTCTACTCTCCCTTTCGCTCTATCCTCCTCCGCCTTCTCCACAGGATTCGAAGCACACACACAAAAAGAAAAAAAAGCTGGAACGGCGTGATGGAAAAAAGGATTAAAAGTCGGATTTTTGGGTTTACACGCTGCTGGTAAGCTGTTTCTTGTCTCAATGAGGCAACGAGGCACATCAGCGATGCCAAAACAGCGACAGGCAAAAGATACCTTCAAAAAGAAAACAAGAAAAAAAAAAAAGACAAAGAGTGCGTGGACTTCATGAACAGGGGAGGGAGCACGACAACAACAAGAGAGAAGAGCAAAGGAGGCAATTCATTTGCTCGACGGGAAAGAGCACAGGCACGCAAGAACAGGCCCGCATCCAAACTGCTTCACAAGTGTTACCGCTGAGCAACGGGGTGGAGCAGCATTTGAGGAAAATGCGGAACAAATTTAGGGCGCAGCGAGCATGATACGGATAAAGTCTTCCTGGGAAATGGCCGAGGAGCCAGCCAGACCGGCCTCTTTCAGCATCTCCTCAACATCTGTAGGCCAAAAAAACGTGTTCGGGAGCATGGTCAGGAAAAGGCCGTTGTGGCTAGTGGAGTGCGGAAGGATCACATCGGTACGCACCTGAAGCGCTCATCTTCTCGCCAAGGTTGCACATGATGTGCTGCAACTCCGAGGCCGAGATGGAACCCTTGCCGTCCTTGTCAAACACTTTGAAGGCCTACATTGGATCAGAACAGCCGCCAAGTTGGGTCAGAGACAGCACACAGCAAATCTGGGTGTCTGCAAGCGAATGCAAACACATACATCGCGAATCTCCTGGGCGTAGTCGGCGCCGGATTGGAACTGGCTGACGGCGGTGTTGACCTCGGAGAAAGCCAGCTTGCCCGAACCACTGTCGACCTGAGCCAGAATCTCCTACATTTGTGCAGACCCACCAGAGCATGAGCCCAAAAAGGCAAGAACGAGATCACTTGAGCCTCAAACTTGGCTGAGGTCCACCCTCGCCTCGAACAAAGAAGGAGGCGTGTGCCAGGACAAGAAAGAAATGGAAGAAATTGAAAAACACCCACCTGCAGCTGCAGCTCCGAGGGGTTGTGGCCAAAGGCACGCAGAACGTTGCCCAGGTCGTTCGACTTGATGTAGCCCTGCAAGATAGAAGGAGCCATAAAAAGGGAGGCCGAGGAGTATTAGGGATTAGGCTACAAGCCAACAACGCCGGATCGTGTCACCCACGCGACGTAGGAAAGGCGCTGTTGTCACTCGCAAAGACCACACTTACGTCGCCCTCCAGATCGTACAGATCAAAGACCTCCTTGACATCCATGTTTGCGGTGTGTGATTGGTGAGCTACAAAGGGTATCAGCTACGCATTGTTCCAAAAGGGTCGGTACGCCACGTCCAGGATGAGAACTTTGCCCCCACAGCTCGGCCACGGCGGGATGGGCCAGCTCGAGCCGGCAGAACACAGAGAGACCACAACAAAACACGACAACCACAAACGACACTGTCTGTGCACGCGCAGATCCATCCGGGTGCCATCGCGCCCTTGCCATCCACTTGTCCCTTGATCATCTACGCCCGCCGGAGCCTTTGCTTTTCGGCTCTCTGCTGCACCGCAGCGCAGCGCGTCTGCCACTGCCACTTGGCCGCTGGAAACGCGTCATGGCACCGACCACTACACCCCTCCAACAACCCAACAACCCCACCCACCCCCAGCACACTACCCCTCCTACCCCACCATGACTCGCACCCCAAGATCGCAACAACACGTCTTCAAAAAAGGACCCAACACACTCGACCGCGCTGCCATTTACACACACACACAGAGACAGAGAGAGAGAGAGCGAGACACACACACACTCAGAGAGAGACACTCTGAGAGAGAGGGAGAGAGAGAGAGAGAGAGAGAGACGGGTAACGTACCAGAGAGAGAGAGGGGCGGGAAACTGCCGACAACTGGGTTTTGTGAAAGAGTTGAAAAGTAAAAGTTGATTGTCAAACTATACAGATTTTACTTTGGCGCCAATATTCAAATGTGTGCTGCGTGAAAGGATCATGGATCTGGGGATGGTACGAGTAGAATTTGCAACAAAACGGACAGATACAGAGGGGGAGGATGGAGAACAAGACCATTGTTCTGACAGCAACGAGGAGACGGACAGCAAGTGGTTGCCCATAATCTCACGCAGCACACACACACATCCATGAAAAAGACAAAGATAACAACCGCGGCACGTGGCGACACCTTCAAGTGACCAGCATGCAGCACCACAACATCAAAATGCTCCCATCAGGAGAATCAAAACACGCACGTTGTACAAAACGGACCATAAGACCCAAATGAGATGCTTTGCTGGGCCAGAGAAACAAAGCGACGAAGCACACAAGGACCCACTTGCTGAAGAACAGACACACCGACAAATCTACAAACAACGCGCGCGCATACACCCACACATACAGACACCAACACATACACACGCATACAGCGAGCCCATCTCGGGAGCGCTCAGACCTCAGACATGACAAGCACGCGCTCCCAAGCCGGTGCCAATCCAACACAACAAGAGATACCATTGCAGTGACGACGATAACACATCGGCCAGTGGTCTCTGCCCACTCTGGCGAAAGACCACCGGTCCGGCACGCAACCCATGATCACGACGATCGCTCGGGCACGGGGCAAGGTAACGACGACAGACAGGCCAAGGGACACAAGAGATAAAAGGGCATTGGCACACAAGGACGTGATTTAGGCCATGGGGGCCTGCTGCATGTTGACCATGGCTTGTGCAGCGTCATCGGGAGCGTGGGCGCTATCCTGGGGTTGAGGGGCGGCCGTGGCAACAGGGCCTGGTTGTTCTGCGCCGTCTTGTTGGCCTTCGGGCCGCTGCATCTGGGTCTGTTGGGCATGCTGGGCAGCCTGGTGGCGGGCGGCTTCGAGGTTATTGACGAGCCAGGTGAGTTCTGAGAGGGTGGCGGATTTGAAGTGCTCGATGGCCTGATGGGCGGCCTGGGCATTGGCCTCGATCGAGCTCACCACGCCCTCATACATGACGCGGACGTTCTCGTTGGCGGTGGGTGGCACAACGGTGGCACTGGGGACGGGAAGCTGGGCGTTGGAGGCCACGACAGGCGGGTTGGTTTCGGCGACTGAGGTGCTGGGAGCCTCCTGGACGGGTGGATTTTCATTGGGGCCGGGAATGGAGTTGCGACGGGGCGAGCCCTGCTGTTGCACGGGCTGCGGTACAAAGGGTGGCGCCATCCAGGGCGAGGCCTGCATGAGGTGGGGCCGCTTGGTGGGCTGGTACTCGATTGGCGTCCCAGGCCCGGCAAGGTTGACAAAGCCACTGCCTGGTGACTTCTTGGTGGGGACCTTGAGCTTGACAAGCATGGTCAGATCGGGAACACCAAGCCAGGTGCAGACCTTGGCCGCCACAGGACGGGCCAGATTCTTGAGCTCGCGCCCAATGTGCTTGGGCATGGGCTCGGTCGTGCTTTTGGAACATCCAAAGCAAATGTAACTGGGGCGCTGGCGCAGCGTGTCGTACACGCCAATCAGGCCTTCATGCGCGCGCGATTCAAGCTCGGGCGGACAGGGGATGTTGCAGCTGCGGATAAATCGCACGCAGCGCTCATCGCAGACGATATCCTCGATGCATGCCTTGTTGTACGTCTACAAAGGCCGAGAGGGATCAGACGATGGACGCTGTGGGTGACAAGAGGGAGTGGGGGGGGGGGGGGGGGTTTCCAAAACCCCAGGGGAGGAACCCACCCT